CACTCAGGGAAAATTTCCCTGTGTTTCTCAGCTGCCTTCAGCAAGTTCACACTCGGCCAGCAAGATTATATGAGCTCAACTATAAGCTTTTAGAATAACAGGACTTGCATCAATGTGTTTTGTAGACTCCTGAAATAGAAACATTCACGTTTAAGCATGACAAACAGCGGAAGCAGAGCTATTCAAACAAGATAATTCACTTTCCACATAAGTCACGAGATCCTTATTGTAACATCACACTGGGTCATTGAGTTTGTTCTAAGGATACAATCATACCTTTATTGTGTTTTATGGCTTCCTAATTTAGTTTTGGCTATCTCAAACAATAAGCAGCATTACTTTTTTAACAAAATATACACTGCAAAAATAGCAGTGTTATTTCAACTCTAACAGAGTCAAAATCGGAATGAGTGAACTAGGGATGGGAAGATTAACCGATTTGTATCGATACACGGTCATGCCAGTGCACGATGCGAGTGCATCGGTAGAGCAGCAGAGGATGAATGAAATTTTGGAAGCAAATCGAGATGCATCGGTTTTTGCGAGATGCATCGGTTTTTCCAAGATACAACTTATATTTTTAATATAGAATGTATTTTTTATTTATTAACAAGTGTTGTCAACCTGTTTTTGGCGCATAATTTAATCGACCTACATAAAGTATGCCTTAGCAACGGACTTGCGGATGTATACACAACTCAGTGTATCAGGTGTGCGGATGAAGCTAGTGGTGCGCCCTCAGAAAGCCCGAGAAGCAAAACAAAATTTTATTCCCCACTGAGTTTTAAATCTAAAGTATGGCAACAATTATGGATTTTGCAAAAAGGATGGACGACTTGACAGGACAGATGCAATTTGCAAAATGTGCCACGCATCTGTAAAATACACGGGCAGTACGACTAATCTGATATCTCACTTGAAGCGGCGCCTTGGTGTTGTTGTGGAAGCATCTTCCAGTGTTCCTGCATCCCTGGCGTCCTGCTTTGCTTCAACTGTAGCTACCAGCTCCAAAAGTGGTGAGAAAAGCATTGAAAGTTGTTTCCATGCGCAACAGTTTTGTGCGCTCTACGCCAATAACGAATGCTATTGCATTGTTCATCTGCAAAGATATTCAGCCTAGTGTCACGGAGAACGAAGGTTTTAAACACCTCCTCCTGTTAATTTGTATTTATTCATATTTTTATTAGCCTGTTGTTTACAGTGCAAGTGATGTTTCAAAGCAGCATAACACTGCTAGTACACGACCTTAAGTTTTGAATATTCAGTGGCACAATATATCTTTGTAAAAAAAAATTTTCATAGTTGAAAAGTTAAATCCCAATTCTTGTTGTGCAATGGTAAACCTTTATGTTGAAAGAGTGCAAATATATGTATTTTTAATATTTATTGCACTTATACATTTTGTTTATTTTGAAAATACTTAAATAATATGTGCTATATGTTCTAAAATGGCCCTCTACTGTAAACTGACACTCTGGCTCTGAGAGAAAAGCTAGTTTGTAAAAAAGTATTGGTTTTGCTTGGTTAATAAATAATCAAACTCATTCAATGGCACAGCATCCTTTCTTACATCATCTCATAAACTTGATCTAATAAGTTAGTGCTGAATTATCGCATTGTATCGTGATATGGGTGTGAATCGTATCGTGTTGCATCGCAATATGTCACAAATGTATCGCTAATATATCGGATCGTATTCTTTGTATCGAGATGCGTATAGGATTGGCATTATAGCTTAGATGCCCAACCCTAGAGTGAACATATTGTCCCAATATCAGAGTTTAACTAACACTCTTAAGAGAGTTACTTGTACAACACTATACATGAGTTATATTTACACTGTATTGAGTTAAAAATAACTCTGATCCCTGACTGTTGTTTAAAGAATGAAAATTTAATTTACCTCAGAATTCTTTTAACTGTAGTCTACCTAGCAAAAATTACAATACTCATGATTGATAGTTAAAATAACGTACACAATAATAGAAATAATGATAGAAAAAATATACAATCAAAATTATGTCGTTAATCATTTTTATCAACAAAAAATTACTAGAACACTAGAAAATGTACACTTTTTACAAATTAACACTTTTAAAGACTTTAAAAGATCTTGAAAATGGTATGACTTTTATGTTCCATTTAGATTTTTGGTCAAATTAATTCCTGAACGTTGGAAATAACACCAACAAGTGTTGGTTAGCTGTAACTCCTTGATTTTGCACTGGATCAAATCAGCTTTGAACTTTGATTGTGTTAATTTATCAAAATGTAGTTCTTTAATGTCAACACTTTACTCTGAAATGCTTTAACTCCGAAGAATTTAACACTGATGATGAATTTGCTGTGTATTTGTTTGTGGATGTGTTCTTTCTAAACCCTGCCCTATTTAGAGCCTACTTTTCTCTGAATGGTCAGTAAGGTTACAATTCATGTCAGAATTGATATGCTATAACCTGGATTTCAGCTCTGGAGCTTCTTCGATCTTCAGCAATACTGTAAGACAGTTGAATGAAGACAATGAAGATGATAGGCTGGCATCATGCTGTGTTTTTGTTTTGAATTCAATTACAAAACATATTAGTTAAGTAAAGTTTGAAGTGATGATGACTCATTTTGGCAATTATGCATGAAAACAATAAGTTTGTCATGCACTTTGATCATTATCTTAAAATAACTTAGGTCATTTTTAAAGGTTGGGTAAAATCGCTGTTGTTTGTGTTGGATTGGCTGTTTGTGTAAAGTTTGGAGTCAGAGAGATTTTTTATGTTTTGAAATAAGTCTGCTTTTAATGGAAAAAAATGGAAAAAAATGAGTCATTTTGAAAAATATTATTAGTCTCACAAATATCTATTTTTTTACCTAATAACATACAGTGCTCAGCATGTATAAGTACACCCCTCTCAAATCTATCTTTTAAATTAATATTTTTAAATCGGAAGCTGTACAATATTATATGTGTGCATATACATTAGATTAGTCAGCACTAAAGCCAAAACTAGCTTATCTAACAAAATAGTAACGATAACGGTTCAAAAACTACTACACCCAAATGTATATGTTATAGAAAAACAATAAATACCAGTTTAAAAAATAGGAAAAATCTAGAGAAGCAAAAAATAGAAAAATTTAGTTGAAATTTTGTAGGTTGTAATTTTTTTGCAATATTTTGCTTGAATTTAATTGTATTGTATTTCTATTTCTAAATATGTTTGATGACTAAAATTTTATTTTAATAAATATATCTGTTTAATAAATCTGTTTTGTTTAAATGCACCAAAATAAATTGCCTATATTCACTGAGAAATGGATAAAAAAAAATGGGGGGGGGGGGGGGGGGGGGGTACTCAATTATGCTGAGTATTTAATATGTAATGTATTTTTGTGATGGCAAAACTGACTTTTTGTAATAATTTGGCCATTCAAAACATTTCATGCTATTATAAAATTTAAAAAAAGGATGTGCTGCATAATATTTTTTTGTGGAGAACGTAATAAAAAAAATTCAAGATTCTTTGAGGAATAGAAAGTTCAAAACAGCTGCACTTTATTTTTTTAAAATATTAAACTTTTGTAACGCTATTTTTGTCTTTACAGCAGCTGTTTATTCAATTTGAAGTTTGCTTCCTAAAACATTTTTTAGATTAAAATTCATTTAAATCTTAAAACATTTATACAGGAGACCTGGTGGTGCAGAAGGTAGTGCTGTCGCCTCACAGCAAGAAGTTTGCTGGTTCAAGCCTTGGCTGGGTTAGTGGGCATTACTGTGTGGAGTTTGCATGTTCTCCCCGCGTTCGTGTGGGTTTCCTCCGGGTGCTCCGGTTTCCCCCACAGTCCAAAGACATGCGGTACAGTTGAGTTTTAGGCTAAATTGTCCGTAGCATATGAGTGTGAATGAGTGTGTATGGATGCTAGATGGGTTGCAGCTAGAAGGGCATCTGCTGCGTAAAACATATCCTGGATAAGTTGGCAGTTCATTCCGCTGTGACGACCCCGGATTAATAAAGGGTTTAACTTAGCCGAAAAGAAAATGAGTGAATAAATGAACTTTTGTACTATGTATATAAAATATCTAAATATGTGGGTGACACAGTGGCTCAGCACTGTCGCTTTACAGCAAGAATTTTGCTGGTTCGAGTCCTGGCTGGGTCAGTTGGCATTTCTGTGTGGAGGTTTTAAGACCAGAATCCTCTGATGGGTGTCGCTTCGGTGTGACTTCAGCTAATCAGTTTTGACCAGTGCACACAATTACAGTATTTTTTATACTTCCAACATCCAGCTGTGTGAGAAAACATACAATCTGATGAAGTAACCTTTCGCTGCTGTTTTGTTTTTAAATAGAGAAAATATTTTACAAGTAACTTTTATTCTAAATCTTGGAACAAAAAAATTGAGCAATTCTCAATTCTGAAGTAAAGGACCAAAAGCAACTGACATTAAAATTAATTTGAAAACTAGTTTACTATTGTTGTTAACCAAGAATTTTTGAATGTACTTTTTTTTTTGGTTATGATGACCATCCAACAACCTATTTTAGCTAAAATAGTGCTTAAAATGTCATGAAAATGCAGTTCATCTCATAATTAAATAGTAGCCTAAATGAGGCCTATAACCTCAAAAAAAAGGTCCACTTTTTGAGAAAAATAGAACCCCCCCTTTTCACTAAGCTGGCTACGGGTCTGATGTTTATGGATGTTTCCCAGTATTGGGTCGCAGCTGGAAGGGCATCTGTTGTGTAAAACATATGCTGAACACGTTAGTGGTTCATTTTCCTGTGGCAACCACTGATGAATAAAAGGACTAAGCTGAAGGAAAATGAATGAATGAATAAATGAATGAATATTATGTTTAAGATGCCCTGACTAAAACAGTGATGGAATATGATGACTATCTTTAAATGAGTCATTTTTTAGTTTACTGGAAACACGTGTCGATGAGATTAATCCACCGTGATCTAAAATGAAGACATTATTTAAAATAAAATAAACAAAACAAAGAAGTTCCATCACAGAAACTATACATTTTATTGAGAGCCATATAATACAAAACATCCACCTTAAATAGCTTAAATTAGGCCAAATCTCATTTTAATTTGATTCTTCTGGAGTATGTAGGTACTCATGACTATGAGTTCCCTTTACCACCCAGAACACTTTCGGGACTCTTAAACAATGAGTGTCAAACGGCAAAAAATTGGCAAGAGTAAACACAGATGACCACACAGAACCTCAAGCTCCAGACCTGGGTATCTGAGCTGTTCCTTACTTTGGATTCTGACCACAGTGCATCTCAGATGGAGACTATACTGCCCAGATTGGTCAACTCAGAACCCCCTTTTTGTGCCTGATCTGAATTTCTTCATCTGAGTCCACAAGGCATCGATCTATTTTGCTGAAAGCTACATTATGACCAAGAACACAGCACGAGTTCATGAGTTCAGCTTCACCGCAAAAATCCCACCTCCCCTCCCTCCCCCCATCAGCAGGAGAAATGTATTTGGGACTCTTCTTCCACCGCCTGCTTCAGTAGTGTAGTGTTTTAACACTGTATTTTAGGTGTGTGAGAGCCTGTCTATCTCAGAAGATGTCCCTCTTCTGTCACACCTCCAGGGGGTTCTGGGGCCCCTCGGCCCCCTGCGGCGGGTCTGGCTGGAGCCTGCAGATGGGTTTGTTGCACATGGGACAGACGCTGCGGATTTCCAGCCACTTCACCAGACACCTGTGCAAAAGACAAGGTGAAAAGTGAAGAGATAGAAGGCTCTATTATGCTTTAGTTATCTATAGACTCCAGCGCTGTTATGCATTATGGCCACGTCACAAAATGACAGGCTGAAACAAACAGTCTGACGCGAGGATAATACTCATATTTAAGTCGCAATGCCTTGACAGCTTCATTTGTTTTTCCTCAGTGATTTTCATTTTTGTTTTAGTGCCTCTGGCAATATTTTGTGTCTCAGGAATCTGCAATGTGATTTTAAAGAAAAGTCTTCTTTTGTGTCAATCAGTGTCAATGTCAAAAAAATGGCATCATATTTACAGAATTACAAAATAATAATTAGAAAGATTGGATACTATGAGAAGAAGACAGTAAAAAGCCTTACTTCTTGTGAAAGGCATGAGAACACGGGCAAACTCCTAGTTCATCTCGGCTTCGAAATTCCTCCAGGCAAACCGCACAGGTCTGCTACAGAGTGAAAGAGAAAGAATGAAAAAAAGAGAGACAGCCGGAGGGCTTTGTTCTCATTTATATCCGTTTACATATCAGCAACAGCTCAAAGTACTGTTACTCCAACTTTGGTGGTTGACTGAAAATATAATGAAGGCTGGAGAGGGAAAAGAATCCTCATGTTACAGAATGGTCAAATTGCTTTTTATAAAATGAAGGGTAATGCTGATGAAGTAAAAGACTGCCTGGACTTTCTATTTTGTTTAGTGTTTCATAAAAAAAAGATTATACCAGATTAGAATGACAAAACTTAAGTTTTATTGTATTTTAGATTTGTCTTTGGTTACTTACTCCGAGAAGACTCAACTTTTTCCCTGGGCCTTTTAGAACAACCTGTAAGAGAAAGAGGCATTTAATAAAAAAAATAAAAATGTAAAAACTGATAAAAATAGATATGTTGTTTTAATTTTACACCAGTGTTATGCTAAATGACATCAATTTTAAATAAAAAATAAGTTTGAAACTTTTGTAACATCAAATTAAAAAGTATTGACATTGACAAGGTAATAAATTACCTCATTATATCCATATTGTTCTTGTGTTCCCTGTCGTCTGAGTCTGTGAAACAAAAACATGACATTGTTCCGTTACACATAGCAATGCTTCTCTTTCTATTTTGTCAGTACTTCAGTTTTCTGCACTGCAGTTTTTTTATCTGACTACTTGCACACTGTAAAATTGATAGTAAAAACAGCAGACTTTGAATATTATAGAATATTATGACTATAATATATATAATATTATAATATTATATAATATAGCAGACTTTGCCAAAAATTTACAGCTAAATTGTTTTACGGTGGACTACTGTATTTTATTAATTTAGTGTTGTATACCAAATATTTTAAAGCACTGTTGCACAAGTAAATCTGAAACAATGATAATGAGAAAGCCATATAATGAACCACATTTCATTACAAACAACTTATCTGCAAGCAGATAAAAACACTAATACAGTATATAGAATATACCAGGTTACGGATATTTTCTGTAGCAATTTTACAGTTTTTTTAACCATTGAAATCTCAGCCATTACTGTTTTTATTGTTGTATTATTAAACCATTTGAATTTTTAATATCTTGGCATTTTGTTTACCTATAACAGACAGACAAACATATAGACAGACATACAGATAGACTGACTGATTGATTGATTGATTTACCGTTGAAATCTCAGCCATTTTCTATTACGGTTTTATTACCGTATTATTAAACCATATGTATTTTTTCTATCTTGGCATATTTGTTTACCTATAAACAGACAGACACACACACAGACAGACAGAGAGTGACAGACAGACAGACACACAGGTAGATAGATAGATAGATAGATAGATAGATAGATAGATAGATAGATAGATAGATAGATAGATAGATAGATAGATAGATAGATAGATAGATAGATAGATAGATAGATAGATAGATAGAAAGACAGACAGACAGACAGACAGACAGACAGACAGACAGACAGACAGACAGAAAGACAGTCATGTAGATAGACAGCCAGACAGACAGACAAACAGAACGACAGACAGACTCAGCTAGCCAGCCAGACAGACAGACAGATAGAAAGACAAACAGACAGACAGACAGATAGTTACCTGAACAGGTAGCAACAGAAGATCATGCTCAACATGAAGATGAAGAGGCCGATCCCAAGAATGATGAGATAGACGTTGAGTGGAAGACGACCGGTGATGTCTGCGGTCATTTTGCAGAGTGTGTCTATAGTCTGTGTCACAAAAGCATGCTGCAAGAGAACAAACGACACCATGCATTTGTCAAACATACCCCCTAAAGTTTATAATGAGAGTCATGGCATTCATTTTGGAATAGCATCCGCTTTTACATCATCTTTTATTATCATAAAAAAGAATGCACGATTCAAATGTACTAAAAGCACAACCACTGACTTTGTCACTTATACGTCATGAATCAGTTATGTGAGTAGGTGGCATATTTCTCTCTCTGTCAGACCCTTGAAAGACAACACACATCACTGTGATTCTCATGTGTACGCTTCTCAGTGGCCCCTGCATGCATATTGCATACTGTGAGCCTGCGGACTGTCCTCGTGTTTCTCAACTCCATGTAACACTGCTCTCATTGTTGGACCTCGCCGAGCAGCATGAACTTTTCACTGTAATACATCTTTTAAAAGCGAAAAACAAGAGATGTCACACTGGTGTTGGATCATGTCTCGATTGTCTTTGACAGCTAACCACAACAGGTTTTTGTTTGAAAGTTCAGTATTTACAGTATAGATTGTACTTGAGATCTTTCCGTCATGAAAATGATGAGGGTAGGATCCAATTTAACAGGGTTCATGTAAAAAAATTCCTTGTAGTTTGTAAAAATCACACCAAGGCAATACAGCTGCTCAGTTTAATACATGCTCTTTAAATATAACACACACTTATGCTCACTTTAAAAAGAAATGTACAGTAAAAAACATATCCAAGTGTTCTAGAAATCCTCTAAAAGTCCTTGTGGGTACCAAGTTGACTTTCGGCTTAAGCTACTTCATCGCATGTGGGAGTTTTTCCAGAACAGTGAATATTATTCAGACAACAGGGGCTTAACTTATATCCTGAGGCAATGTGTTAATAGCAACACAAACTCAACATGATGTTGCAATGGCTTTAACAGTCATCTTTGAACCTAAATTGATTTAGCTCCCTATGAAATGACAGAATGAATACTGCCCTGGGCTTTCTTGCAAAGTGTTAATGTCTGTCGTACAGTATGATGGGTAATATTTTCTGACCAAACACTGAAAACAAACATGTGCACTTTATTGTGCAATTCAATGGCTTATTATTAGTATTGTTGAGTAACAATTGTCTTCATAAATAAAGTATTATTTTTTATTTAACATTGTAATTAATTTGTGATTTCTATATAAATTAATAGATTTTTAAAGGTTATTTTAGTATTTTAGTTAGAAAAAAAAAATTTTTTATGTTAAATGTTTCATTTATCAATATATTTTTGTAATAACCCTGGAAATAAATTTTCAGTCATCAAAACAATAAAAAATACAGTATAAAACATTTAATTGTTTTGCTCCTGTGTATAAGTGTGCTTTTTAACTTGTATTTATAAACAATCGCTGTGCAGCCTACTAATAAATTGTGATTTTTAAACCTTAATACATTTTTTAAGCTTTGAATTAAATATTTATATATACACTGTTTATATATACACGGTTTTTCAAGTGATGGGTTGCAGCTGGAAGGGCATCCGCTGCGTAAAACATATGCTGGATAAGTTGGCAGTTCATTCTGCTGTGGTGTCCCTGGATTAATAAAGGGACTAAGCTGAAAAGAAAATGAATGAATGGATATATACACTGTAAAAAAATCCTGCTTGCCTTAAATTTTTAAGCTGAATCAAATTAACCTTATGAGTCCATTGAACTCTTATTATGTTAAACTGACTTAAAACAGCTTGCATACCTTGTAAAAAGTGAGAAGATAATTAACTTAAAGTTACAATGAACTAAAAGTATATGCTGTTATGACTAATTGATCATATATTTTTTACAGTGTAGAATCATTTATTTTTTTTTACATATATTCCTTACTCTCTGTCATTTTAAGAAACAAAAGTAGACATATGCTAATATGCTTCCCATGTATGTATCACATTTGCAAATTTAATTTGAAGTGACAGCAAAATGTGAAGTCTTGTCTTTAATAATTATATAAAATGTATGTAAAAGCTCATGCAGTTTGATGCAATTAGTAGTAAAGATTTCAGTATTGAAACTAGGGCTGAACTATATATCGTTTGAGTAGGGCTGAGCAGATAAGCAATATTATATCGAATCGTGGTAAAATTTGTCAATAACAATGATAAGATCTGGACTTTTTTTTAGTAATGATCTAAGAGCCAATAACATGTGCAACAATGGAAATCTAAAAGTGTGTTGATATTGGAAATGTATTGAATTTTCGGCCACTGAAAATTTATAGGCCAAAAACATGTCATGCCATTTAATGGACCCTCAAGTTTTTGTGGCTTCAGTCATTGTCGGGAACTCTTTTAAATCAGGAAGCATTAAAAACATAAATTGAAATATATATCGTTTTCATTTAATATGGAAAATAATTATTGTGATTGCATTTTTGCCATATCGCCCAGCCCTACTGTAAGTGTGAGCATCGATATCCCAGTGTGTGTATCTGCAAAATGCGAAGTCTTGTCTTTAATAATTATATAAAATGTATGTAAAAGCTCATGCAGTTTGATGCAATTAGTAATAAAGATTTCAGTATTGAAACTAGGGCTGAACTATATATCGTTTGAGTAGGGCTGGGCCGATAAACAATATGGAATCACAATAAAATGTATGTCAATAACAATGATAAGATCTGGACGTTTTTAGTGTACAATGATCTACAAGCCAGTAACATGTGCAACAATGGGAATTTAAAAGTGTGCTGATATTGGAGATGTATCGAATTTTTGGCCACCGAAAATTAAATTTTTGTGGCTTCAGTCATTGATGGGAACTCTTAAATATGGAAGCATTACCAACTGATATCAAAATGTATACCGTTATCATTCAATATGGAAAATAATTATCTAGATTGCATTTTTGCCATATCGCCCAGCCCTACGCTTGAGCATCAATATCGCAATGTGTCTATCTGCAATAGGTTGGATTATTTATTAAAGATTCAAAGATAAAGATATTGTTATTTTAAGTCATTTATACAGCAATGACCATGTAATTTACATTTGATTGTTTATTTTCTGTACTTGAATATGGTAGTCTCTTGGAAAACCATAATGCTCTGTTTGTTTATTTATTTTTGCTTGTAATTTATTGTATTTTATGCAGATGCACTGCATAGAAAATGAGTTCATTGTCTCAGTCAATATAAATGATTGAAATCCTCCCAAATAGAGCTATTAAAATTGAAATTATATTCATATCACAATAAATATCGCAGCAAAACAAAATATCTCCATCTCAGATATTTTCAATATTGTGCAGCCTTACTTAAAACCTATACTTTAACTCTAGTTAGACTACAACTTTTAAATGTTTAAAAAACAAAGCAAAATCAATGCTGTTTTAGGGCCAGCAGTTCCTAATGGAGTGACAAGTACTTAAACAGTTTAACAATGATTTAAAGACTATTCAGGACTATTTAAACACTGTGTTACAGCGTTTCACTCCCTTTAGATGCAAGTAAAGAATTCAATATCCTATTATCTGACCATTCTTTTTTCAGCAAATTATAAGAGAGCGAGAGGGAGCATTTGGCAGCGAGATTGAAGCCTGGCCAATTGTCTGTGCATAAAGACAGACACGAGTGGTGCACCCTTTCTGCCATAAAGCCACCATCTGGTCCATCCATGAGGGTTTGAGGGGGAGGCAGGAGATGGGAAGGCCTCACCAACCCAGGCAGGAAGCACCATTTGGGGTGAAAACAATAACAACCAACCTCGGGGGTTGAATCCTGCCATACAACCACACAATAGACACAGACACAAAGTGTGTGTTTTCAACTTCAGGTCAAGGCAGAAAGCGAGTGCCAATAGGGAGAAAGGTAAAAAGGCTTGGGTTTTCAGGTGCTAGTAATATAAGGAGGATTTCGGTTAAACATTGATAGGAAGCCAGTGGGAGGGTTGAGGGCTCTGTGAATAACACATGGTTAGGGAGCCGTTCGGATTATGTAGCAACTAGAAATGAAGAGAGGAAGAAGAGGAGGAGGGGGTTATGAATCATACTCACCGTTACACCATTGGATAGGTGCAAGATTGCTCCACTATACTAGATGATCCTGCAAGTTGTGTCCAAAGAGGAAGTGTTGAAACCAGGCCAAAGGAGGGGGACGATCCCCTCACTCAATAATACAAGTTTACACTCCCAAAACTCCTACCATAAGAGCACGAGTTTGAATCTTCAACGCCTCTGGTTAACACATTACCATCACCCACCAGCGCCTCACTGGGAAATGGAAGAAGGCAGAGTGATTTTGTTTTCTTTGTGTTGAAACATTCACAAAGCCAAGTCAGTCATTGTCGAGACCTGTGTAAACACGGGCAGATATCAACACCTACTTCTTGATATCTCAAATGCTTTGTGCAGCCACAGGCGAGGTTAAAAACCAAGCGCTCTGTTTTTCCAGCATCGTGATCCAAACTGCAGCAGAGAATACGAAAGATTGGCAGTGTGGTTTCATGTCAACAACGGATCACGCTTGACGTGAAGTTGCTGTCATTTGCGTTTTTCATTTTGCACCTCTCTGTAGAGTCACGATAACAAAACAGTGAGAGAGAAAATGCACATTGTCTACAAGGCTCACCCCTTCCTCTATTGTCGTCAGCCACTTTCCTCTATAGTCTTCTTGCTCAAGATTCTCACCCTCACGTTAGAGTTAACCGTTTTCCCCGGTAACAAAGGAGGAGGAAGAGCAGTGGCAGAACAGCCGTGGTGAAAGCAGCCCATTCAAAGCTGTGTCTTTCTCACACCATCTGCTCTGCTGAGACACAAAGAAAAAAATGCATTTTCCAGACAAAGTGATGAGATTCCAGTGCGTTTCCTGTCGTCTTTTCCAGCAGCTCTGTCTCCACGTAATGGTGCCGATGACTTCTCTCCTGCTCAGTTTGTAAACAGATCTGTGCTCATGTGATTCGCTGTCTGGATCACAGCTCTCCTTTCACCCGCCCCCTCCTCGCTCTCCCCCTCTCCCTTTCTATCCTGCACTCTCTCTCTTTCTCTCTATTCCTCCTACTTCTCTCTAGCTGAAGGCTATTAGGAGGTGACAGTGGCCAGGCGAGCAGACAGCAGGCCGAGTCTGAGTTTCTCTGATGAGGCTCTTTGGATAGACAGGGCTGGGAGGGGAATGAGGGTTGATTCACTTTGCTTGACAGGCAGTCACAAAAACAGCAAGAGACAACAGAGGGGAAACAGTCAGAGAGCAAAGGGAATAATAGGATAGAGCAGAACAGAATCCGAGGATGTTTAGCTAGCAACGCTGCCAATGAGAAAGAAAAAAAAACCTAAATATGTACATGTGACACAAGCAGTGATGTCAGTGCTTCCGTCACACAGGGAATCAAATGTGAAAAATAGATAAAGGTAATTCCATAGTTTTAGTCAACAGATTGTGTGGGTGTCTTTGGGGAAATATGCAACAAGAAATTCTTGTTACATCAGTGTTTAATTAAAAGGTGTTTTGATAAATCTCCCTACTGTGAGATTGAGCAATCAATGCATGTGTGGCGTTATGCTAAAACCACAAAAATGATTTGTCAGTTTGAAAGTCAGGGAAAGTGAAAGGTGACAGTAGGATTTAAAAGATATGTGACCTTAGTTTTACAAACCTCCATCAATAAAGTCTTAACATAAATCATTCTTCTTGGAAATCATCAAATATTTTAAAGTGAAAATAGTGTTTCCTCAAGGATTTTTTCCAGCTGTGGCAACAGTGCAGTATTACAAGTTGACATCGCATTCATGTAATGCGAGCATGCAAATCTCTTTGCTTGCGCGCCGACTTTCTCTATTAGTGCACAAAACTTCTTGCACACCCTCAAATATACGCTGCTCAAGTGCATTTTCTTCTTTAAAAAAACATTGCTGAAGTGTGATTTAGTTTTTGTAACTAGTATGTCTCCAACATTTATTAGATTGGCTTGGAATATGTCTCCAATAAACCTACAGAGTGGTAATAATGTGTCCTGAAGTTAAGTGAAACGTCTCTAAAACCCAATCAAAATGAAGTCATTGTTTGCAGCACCATAGACCTTTATCTATAAAGTGTAATCATTGAAACTGTGTTCATCTTAACTGAAGGCTACATCGTGTTTGCTGGCCTCACGCATCGCGCACCTGTCAGTCAGTCAGCACGTAACCTTAAAGGGTTAAACAAAGAACGCACAGCACTACTACGGTTACAGAAAAGTTTGCGCTGTTATAATTCACTTACCTTTTAATACGCTTTGGTGCGATTATAACCCGCTATTAAAAAAACACTACTGAATGTTTTGAATGAGATGCTGTAATGTAGCCGTGGCGGGATGAATTTTGGTGTGGCACTGCACCATGGAAGAATGAATGTAGCGGAAACCATGGTGTAAATATTACTTGAATACCATTGTGCTAAAATGTACTATTATATCCAGTTGTTTTTTTCTTGCTCCAGGGCTTTAGTTCGTATGGCATTGTGCCATGGCTTGCATGACTTTACCAAGACCAACAATAACCATTTTATACACTAAACTCATGTTAAATGTAATATAGGTGTTATTATTGAAAATGTGTATTTTATTACTTATAAATTGCTACAAAAATGCTGGGTTCCAACACAATTCCTTCATGATATCTCAACACAAATTGATTAAGTTAACTTAAGAGTTTTTACATCTTTAAGTGAATTGAACATAAAACAATTATATTGTCCTGCCAACTTAAGAATTGTGGTGTTTGAAAAAAATTAAATAAGTAGCAAAAGTCATTTTTTGAGTGCCTTATTATACATTATTATTATACAAATGGTGCTCAATTAGCTTTACTAAAGTAGTAGTAGTAGCAGGCCCGGATTGGCTAATCGGGAGGACCGGGAGCATTCCCGGTGGGCCGGTCCGTTTTTTGGCCGCGAGGGCCGGTGTCCCTAGTTCCAGAATCGGTTGCTCTCAGCAGTCATCACACTTTTTAAAAATAATTTATTTATTTACTTGACCACAGCCTTCTTATTCATTATTTTACCGCAGCTCTGCTCTTTTGATCTATTTTCTCGTAGCCTAGTGAGCAGGATGCAAGTTAATGATGATATAACTAGATAAGTCACCGTTTTACATACAGCTGTTGCGGTACAGTGGTTAGTATGTTTGATTATGACGCGGCCAACCTGGGTTCGGTCCTTGTCTGAGTAACAATTTTTTTTTTTCATTTTTATTGTTAAGACATATATATACTGTAAGGGTTGTTGAACATTTGAAGTTCTAAAAGTGCTGTTTTCTCAAAAAAAGACGTGATAGTGTAATTAGAAACTGAATTGGAAATAACCTTATTTTAATATAGTCAGTGGTGAATTGAGGTGGGCTGGTCTGAGGCTTGAAACTCCAGGGCTGAAAAAGAGTCCCACTCCGGCCCTGAGTAGTAGTAGTAAACTTTATTGTCCTTGACAGGAAATTTGCTATGGGCATCACCATATTGTTGCAGACCTTTCATTGTACAATAAAAACAATGCAAAGTTACAATAAATATAATGCTAATTAAGATAAACTCTTGTTAAATAAACCCACTGAACCTGGTACAAATTATTTCTTATATGGGTTCAGACTATACTTTAGGACTCTATATCTCCTACCAGAGGGAAGCAGTTCATAATGTGGTAACAAAAAATCTGTTAGATCATTTAGAATCCTTTCCACCTGATTAAGGACACAATTCTCATACAAAACTTGAGGATTAAAATATTCATCGTGCCCAACAGTTTTCCAAACTGTAATATTCCATTAATACATTAATATAAAATTGTTTATTTTCTTCTCATTGAGCAAATCATGCTTTCATGTGAACTTTTGATACACATTTAAGATTCTAATTTTACATTTGCTTCAAATACAGTGGATGTAAATCAGCTCACCGTAAACTGCCTGTTTATGCCAAAGGAGAAGATCATAATGACAAAATCGTTCCAAAATGAAAGAAAGAACACCACAGCACTGCTATAGACACAAAAGAATAGCATTAAAAGAATCAACCCAGGCTCTTGGTGATTACATACCTTGGTATACATTTTTAGAGGTGGCAAAATACTTAGCATGAGACCACACAGAGGTAAGCGGTCAGCTAAGCACGATAAGAAATGGCATCATACCGCCCCGTAGCATTCGTTTTAAAAATGAAATGCAGTCATACGTATTTCTGGCTACATAATTTGCAATCTCCAGAAATGTTTGTAGGGCTACATTTTCAGAATGAACCTTTGTTGGAAAAGGTAGTTTAGAAGCTGATTCCATCAGTCAAAACTATCATCCATTGATAATTGCGAGCATTTAAAGAAGCAGATGACAAAACTGTGCATGGCTTAAATAAACAGAAAGGTATATTATACTGTACACTCTAATATAGTTATCTTTATAGTTATCACACGTGGTGCAAACAGGTCTTATCTGGGCATGTGATCAAATGTCAATGAAGGATCCACTTTATCTTATCAATGACCATTTAGTGTTTCACAAGGATCAGTACTCTGGCCACTTTTATTTTTCACCAACTAAATAATCATTTTATCATGTCTCATGGTTTCTTTCTATTGTCAGTTTTAGGCACTAATCCTCTATTTATCCACGCTCTGACAACCAGGTACCCTCACAAATCATTGCATGCTTGGCAATCATCTCTGTCTGGATGAACGCCCATCATCTGAAGCTGAAATGATCAAAAACCAAGCTGTTGTTCAATCAAGCCAAAAAGCACCCTTGCCAAGGCCTTGTCATCTCAGTAGACAAGTCGGCAATCTCACCCACACAGAAAGCAAAATATCTTTGTGTCAAACTGGACAATGACCTGTTAGCCGAAAACCTCATACTAACCACAAATTTCTCCTATAAAACAGTGGCACTGGTTGCTCTTGTAACTCTTTCAACTACCTTTTGGCAGGCATCCCAGCATGTGCAATCAAACCTCTGTAGCTCAGCTGATATTAAAACTTCTCAAGTCACATCCATGCCTCGTCTCATGCATGACTTCCTATCCTTGCTCAAAGCAATGTCCTACCATTCGCTTTCATGCAATCCTCCACAATTTTAGTGAACAGTTCTTACAGAAACCACTTTTCTGATGAACGTTTTACCATTCCCTACTAAAATAGTACTTGTTTGTGAGTGTAAGCTGTGTAGAATCTGCATTTAGGTTTAGTAATAACCCTATTTGTGGGCGGTGCAGTGAGTAGCGCTGTTGCTTCACAGCAAGAAGGTCGCTGGTTCGAGCCCTGGCTGGGTCAGTTGGCTTTTCTGTGTGAAGTTTGCATGTTTTCTCCGTGTTCACTTGGGGTTGAATTGGGTAGTAAATTGTCCGTAGTGTATGTGTGTATGTCATGGTCCAAGTTTGGGGTTGAGCGTTGGTCTAACAACCCACCTCGTAAAAATTCGATGTTACGAAATACAGCCATGATGTTGCAGCCAAAAATCAACTTCGATATAAATGGCTCTGGAAGTAAGAGTAATAGCCCTATTTGTATGCAAAGCACTTTATTTATAGCATATAGCTTGACAAATAGCATGCCTGCCATCCTTTAATCACAATGGTCTCATATTTAATCCTAACACACTTTTGTTGGTAATTATACAGTACATATAAGAATCTGTTAAATATCTTACATTACAGTCAGTGTTAATAATGTCATTTGAACAGTTCTTTTACTTCCACACTTTTGATTTGCTTGGCACACTTGTATCAAAAAAGTTTTAGTAGGCATTTAGTCATTCGATCGACACTAATTTGTCTTTATTGCTTAGCAAAACATAACAAGAGGTAATTTCAACCTGAGAGTACATTGTGTATCTTAAAACAGATGCTTAATAGTTTCTTGTACAGTATAAAAATGACCATTTGAGCAGCAAATGGGCTCTATGCACAGCTAGAGTTTTAAAGTCAATGATAAACCTCCGGCAAAAGCCTAATGTGACTATTTTCAATTTCACAAGGTTGTTTTTACAGCCTCGAAGTTGTAATTTAATTACAAAGGATTCATTCTAAATAGACTTAAGCATTCATTTAGTTGTTCAAGAGATGAGTCAGTAGCAACAGGCTAGCACAGAAATTCCATTGAAAATACTGGAGTAAAATAAACGGTCATATTTTAAAGCCATGGCGGGGGGGAATGGAATTTAATGCAGTGCTTCTTGTCTAATCTGAGACCCACTTCATATTGTATATCTAACAGGCAGTGAAGATCGCTGATTTTTAAAGAAATTAGACCTTAAACGTGCCAATTTTATAATGGAAAGACATTTCATCGGAAGCCCTTGGGCTGCCTGGCTGAAAATTAAAAGTCTGTGTGCATGTAGCGCATTCACAACCTACAAAGAAAAGCTTATAAAAACAAGAAAACCCTTCAGTACATAATCCAAGTAGAAATCTCAATGTCATACGCAAACATGTTTCCCATAAAGAAAACAAAAAATTTAAGAAAACAAATTGTATATAATGAAACTGTATAAAACTGTATAATAGAATGAAACACCCCATTTTCCCCTACAAACTTTCTTATTTGCCTTAACAGTCACCGAAATCTTTTGAATACAGGTCCCATTTATTTAATCGACTGTACAAGGGAGTGTTTTCGACCTCTCTGTACAAGCAAACACCTGTGACGCGGTTCCACTCCAGTCTGGGAATGACGCTCTTGATGCCATTACAAGTTGCAAGAACCTCCTTTTCTTCATTTTCCAAAGCCACAAAGCCAAAGAAGTTTTTGACACAGTCAGCCGCATTGTATTTAGCATGTATTTCAGCTGTACGCTGGAAAATAGCTCGCTCGTTTGCACGATATTGAGTCCAGTATGCCTCCTGCTGATAGCCAAGAGTAGAGCAGCAGCTTTTTAGACAGAGGAGCAGAAAGACAGAAAGCGAAACAATTCCAACCAGCAACCATCCCAACAGCTAGAAGAGAGAGAGAGAAAGCAAAAGTTATGCATATCATATTAAAAAGACAATTCTACAAAGTATTGATTTAATCAGAGAAAGATTGTGATATGTACCTGGGATTCATACTGTAGCTGGCGTTCAATCACTTTAGTGTAAATAGTATACGGATCAGGTACATCCTTACATGGAAACTGGGCCATGATTTCTACAGTCTTTGTAGTTATAGGGAAATGATCCAGTGTAGAGGGGTCAACAAACTCACTGAAAGCACACACATACGCCTCCCCTCTCAGGAGAGAAATAACAGACCAAGTGATGGGGGCAACAATGGCTCTGCCCATGATGGATCCCATCAGAACAGAAGCAGCAGTCAGCGTTAATTTCCGGCATCCTCTGGTGCGACATTCAGACACCAAATCCCAGGTGCTTCGATTAAGTATCAATCCAATGACGAAGAAAGTCAGTGCTGGTACACCGATGGCTGCCATACCGTACAGGTAATTCTTCTTCGGCGAACATGGACAGTTAAATGCAAAAATGTTGTATGCTGTCTGACTGGCCACTGTCCCTAAACCTATCAGCCCATTGAAGATCATGACATCCTTACTCTTGAAGAAGAGCGAAACAAATTTGAAGTTCTCTGATATGAGAGCTGCCATCTTGTCCCGATGACCTCAATGGGAATTAATGCTGATTAATCAACGCCTTTCAGAGAGTCTCTGAATTAAAGCAGACTCTAAATATAAAGAGAAACAAACAGAAAGAGAGAGTACGTGTAGAAGTATTCTGATTCAGCTCAATTTCATGCAAAATACAGCCACTCTATGATCAAAGTTAGTCCGGGCATGCCTCAGCACGGCACCGCGCTCGAATTAGAAACAGAAAACAGTTCCGAAAGGGAAAGACTTACATTCCATTGCAATGAGGCACCAACAGTCTGCTGGAACATCCACAAAGTTTTACAAACGTGTAAAACTAAATGCAGGCATCAAAAAGAAGTATTTAAAACAAATAAGGTTTCTGTAGGTAGGCTTTCTGTATGCTTATGTTTTGGTGAAGTCCCTCCTTCGCTCTGTCTATTGTGTGCATGCGGCACTGAATCACCAGCGGGAACCACATCTGGTTTCAGCCCCAGCGGAAAGTATGAGCATTTAACTCAAACAGGCTGGGGAACATCATAAATTAAATCTCCTCTTATCCAACAACACAAGTCTTGTCACGATGATGTTTTCTTCCCATAATTAGTGAAGGAAAAAATATAATAGGAGTAAAATTAAACAAAGATCAAAGCAGAGTATTTTTATAGGCTTGTATACTGGCCACACCTCCAAACATTTGTGAACACAGAAAGGCTCTTTAAAATGGTATACACTGAAATATTTGAGCTTATGACAATAAATATAAATAAATTAAACATCTAGCATACAATATGATATATTAGTAAAACAATAATAAGTAACAGCCTAAATAATAAGTAAAAAAAAAATTAAGTCATTTGGAAGGTATTCATTTATTTATTTAACCACAGCATGGTGTAAATCTTGAAACTAAACCTTAGTCTTTTTTAAAACCATTTTATCCTTTCTTGTCATAAAAACATCACAGCTTATTAATTGGTCTGTCAGAATTGGCGTGCAATTATATCACACACGCACATTAGTTGTAGTACTGTGGAAAACGAATAGGTGAAAGAAGAAACCTAAAGGAAAAACTTAAATAGTTAATGCTCTAAATATTATATAATATCAATTTTCAGCGTTATTTTGCTGTTTAAAAGTGAATTTTCTGTTGCAAAGCGACAAATGAAGCACTGTTTGCACAGTCACACAAATCAAACAGTGGCAAATTCACTGCTCCTGAGTAAAATCTGGTCATGGGATTTTTCACGCTCACGACTGCAGATTTTTTTTTCATTAATTTTTTTCCAACTAAACTCAGGGAGCTCCAGCAGATGTAAACGTTACAAGCACAGACCAGTAAAGGGTGACAAAACAATGTTGCCTAATGTTTTAATCACTTTGATAGTGTTAATGGCTGCCAGTCAGTCCCTTCACAATTTGGTTTGTATGACGTTATAATATAGACAAGCCTCTTAGATAGCAGACATGGAGAAACACATCTAGACCAAATCTAGTTGAGTTTAAATACATTTTTATGCCACCCAAATTATTAGAGAAATGCAGGCTGTGGTGTGGTTGGAAATGTTATGCTAATAGGCGACATATATTGAAAGTGCACATTTCTATATCTAAAAAAACACAAATTAGTCTACATTATGATTTTTATTTTGTTAACAGAATAGGCCTGAATATTATTGGCTACACTGTAAATCTAATATATGGAATTTCAGTAATAATCCTCATACAAATTGAGGCAAGGTCCGACAAAATATGCATTTGACAAATTGAAACAGGGCGTCACAGTGGCATAGTGGGTAGCATGATTGCCTCACAGCAAGAAGGTTGCTGGTTCGAGCCTTGGCTGGGTCAGTTGGCATTTCTGTGTAGAGTTTGCATGTTCTCCCTGTATTCGTGTAGGTTTCCTTTAGGTTCTCCCATAAGTTCAAAGATAGGTGAATTGGGTAAGCTAAATTGTCCGTAGTGTATGTGTGTGAATAAGTGTGTATGGATGTTTCCCAGTGATGGGTTGCAGCTGGAAGGGCATCCGCTGCATAAAACATATGCTGGATAAGTTGGTGGTTCATTCCACTGTGGCAACTCCAGATTAATAAAGGGACTAAGCTTATTTTAAAAAATGAATGAATGAATAATTGAATGAATGAATAATTGAATGAATGAATGAAAATCGTAACAGCTTGTCCTTAACATCGACAGAGGAAGACCACACATGTAGGCTCATGCCTCATTAAAAACATACTAATATCGAAGGTTGTAGCACAGTAATAAAACACCAGACAAGTTTGATCTCGATCCATAAGCCATCATCATTGCAAAGGAAAACATACCTAAGGGCACTGTCTTGTATTTTTGCTTCTCTAGTTGCGGTTAAGTTTTTATTGCAGTAATAAGTTACACTTCAGCATTGAATATTTAATAAGATTTTAAATTAAAATCAGATTGCATGCTAACATTTAGTTTATGTATATTAATTAAAAAGTTTAATAATTGTATTCCCTGTTTTAGCTATTATACTTTTAAAATTATTCTACTAGTGTTCTAGTGTTCTAGAAAAGTGTTCTAGTCTGTGGCACAAATTTCATGGGCGTTCCTTCATGCCAAAGATATGAGTTTTTGGGTGTGTTTAATGTACATTAATTGAACAGCAATTTGTCAATTACTTAACAGTCATGCTCATTTGTGTACATGGCCCATTTGCTTAAGCGACTGTACAAGGGAGCGTCATCGACCTCTCTGTACAAATAAACACCCGTGATGCGGTTCCACTCCAGTCTGGGAATGATGCTCTTGATGCCTTTGCAGTCTGCAAAAAACTGCTTCTCCTGACTTTCCAAGGCCACAAACCCAAAGAAACTCTTGACATTTTCAGCTGCATGGTATTTAGCGTGTACTTCAGCTGTACGCTGGAAAAGAGCTCGTTCGCTGGCGCAGTATTCAGACCAGTACGCCTCCTGATGATAGCCAAGAGGAGAGAAGCAGGTTTTCAAGCAGAGAACCAGAAAGACAGAGAGTGAGATGAGTCCCACTAGCAACCATCCCAGCAGCTAGATTAAAAAAAGAAATAAAAATGAGATGTGCAAATCATAAATATGAAGTGTACATACAAATAAGTACTGAAAAAAATACCTGGGATTCATACTTCAGCTGGCGTTGAACAACTCCTGTGTAGTTTATAAACAAAACAGGCGTACTGTTACATGGAAACCGGGCCATGATCTCTGGACCAGGAGAAGCTGAAGTGAAATTGACCAAGGATGAGAAGTTCAGGAACTCACTAAAAGCACACACATACGCCTCCCCTCTTAGAAGCGAAATCACAGTCCATGTGATGGGGGCAGCAATTGCTCTGCCCACGATAGATCCCAACAGAACAAACGCAGCAGTCAGCGATAATTTCCTGCATCTTCTTGTGCGGCACTCTGACACAACGTCCCAAGTGTTTTGATTCATCATTACTCCAATGACGAAGAAAGCCAGGGCTGGTACACCAATGGCTGCCAGACCATACAGGTAATTCTTCTTCGGGGAACATGGACAGTTAAAAGCTAAGATGTTATATGCGGTCTGACCAACCACTGTTCCTAAACCTATGACGGTGTTCAAAATTGTTGCATCCTTATTCTTGATGTAAATTGCAATACATTTGAAGTATTCTGATATAAACACAGACATTGTATGTTTGCAGAGGTGTATCTCAGTTTATTTTTGCTGATGGTGATTGTCGTCTCTTTAAATTAAAGCAAAAAACCCTGACAAAAAGAGATATGAGAATCAGTGAAATCAGAAACAACTTCATTATACGAAATGTAAATACAGGGAAATATAAAGTCACATAAAAACAACTGCTTTATAAGAAAAGCTTTAGTTTCTCCAAGCCTCAATACACCAATTACACAGAACAATGAACCAAAAAGTTGAATTATTCCTCATATAAACACTTACATTTCATTGTCAGATGGTACAAATGGTCCCTCAAAGATGATGTACAACCAGAAGCAGATTGTATTCAAAACAACAACAACAAGATACCTATAGCTGTATTTGTTGTGTTAAAGAAGTGAGATCCTTCCCTCGCTTTATCTGTTGTGTATTTATAGCAGTGAATCACCATCAGCAATTACAATCTGGTTTCGGCCTTAAATGGATCTAATGAGCATTTAAATAAAACAGGTTGTGCTACAGTAATCGACTACAATAAAAAATCAACATTTGTTATAAACTATTGTCTTTAAAGTGACATGTCATCAGATAAGACTATTAGATCTTGTAAAAAATAACAATATATCAATATAAAAAACACTATATATAAGAATAAAATCTGTTTAAAGCTTATCAAATGATACTTATCATGTTCTACTATGTAATTCTATGTATAAACATCCAATATATTGTTAAAAAATAGGGACATTTTGCATTGTTTCCATTACATGATGTTATGTAAGCCTTGAAGTTGAACTAGGTGTGTTTAAAACAAAGGGTGACAAACGAAATTGGAATAATGAATTGGATCCCCCGTCATACACAGCAAATGAGATGTTTAGTCACACATGTTGTTCCTTCAAAGACACTGGTTTTCTTTTTTTTGACTCAAAAGCTCTCCATTGTCCACAGCAATGTAGTACACCTGGCAGCCTGACCTTTTATAGGGCACTCATTGAAATAGGAAAAACCCTGGACTGTATCTGCAGGTAATATATGACTTTTCAAATTATATTGTAATAAAAATACAAAAAAATACCAGCCACCAATAGCCCTATATTCTTTACCCTATAAAGCAGAGATGCCCAAACTAGGGTCTACGGGCCAAAGTTGGCCCATTCTAACCTTTGATTTGGCCCACCATCCCTTTTAAGAAGAGAGGGAGAATGCTGGGGAGGTGGTTGGAGCAAATATCTTTGACAGAGATTGTCATTTCAAATTGAATGTAACCTTTTGTTTGTTTGTTTGTTTGTTTAGTAGTTTTCTTTGTTTTGTCAATTACTCGACAGATAGAGGGCAATGCACAAGGCATTGGTGAGAGCAGATCAAGGCAAAGGCAGGTGCAGCTTAACGCATTACACATTAAACTCTATTATAATTATGGAATTGTTTATGTTTTTACTTCAAGAAATTCATTGAACATTTAAAAAAATTGTTAATATAAAAAATTGTTAATTAATGTCATTTAAATGTCATTTTCAGTCAAAGTCACTAAATTAAATAAGAATTATGGTGACTCATGATTAGATTTTATTTAGTAGAATATATAACTGTATATAAGTATGTAGTTGTTTGGACTTATTTGTTGAATTTATTGTGATTTAATAACTGAACTTAAAATGTTTAAGTTACTACTATAAAAGTTTGACAATACAAATTATCAACACAAATAATATATATGTATATGACTATATAGTCATAGTCATATAGTTTTCATATAGTACTCAACCAGTACTCAACTGTATCAAAACCTAAATGGTTTTAAAACTTATTTTGCCTTGTTTGCTGAGGCCCTCTAGTGGGCACCATACCCCTGGTAAGAAATCACCACATTAAAGTCACATTGAAATAAAATGGTCTCTTTTATTAAAATTGCAGCATTTATAATAAGTATTAGTGTGCGCTCATAATTTTTAAATTTATGACTGAATACCCATCTCTTTCTAGAATTTAACTTAGATTTTTTTAAATGAAGGAGCTTGGTTAAACCTTAAAATTAATGTTCTACTGCCTAAAAAGCATAAGTAAACTCAACTAAACATGAAGGTAACTCATGAACAGTCAAGACAGTGAATTACTTTAATTTTTAAAAACAACACTTGAGTTCCAAATCAACTTCCAAATGATATCCGCAATCTTTAATAGGTTTTTGAGTTATGACTGACATTGGATGAACAAACTTTTCCTTATTTCAAACTTATGTTTATTGAAATTTACCTATAAATTAAATTTTATTTATTCATTTTTTCTTCGACTTAGTCCCTTTATTCATCAGGGGTCGCCACAGTGGAATGAACCGCCAACTTAAATTTAGTTCGATTCATTTTGTTGCAAACGAGAAATAAAAAGTGGTATACTCATCATATCAGCAGCAAGATCATCATAATCATTGTATCATTATTATTATAACTTTGGTCACACCTTAGTTGAGTTACTAATCTTGTTTTATCCTATTATTTATGCTCTCTTTATGGAAATAAACAATATGTTTACAATAGATCAAATGAACGGTTGAGTCACATGAAAGGACATGCAATAAATACAATAGCAGAAAGAACTATCTTCACAGTGAAGCGCCTCATTCAGTTTTTAAAATACCACCATCAGGTCAGACTTTGGAATAGTACACCACAGCTTTTTTTTTGGTATGGCGCTCATCAGTGAGGCTGTGGGTATCTAAGTGTGCATGTCCATTCATTTCTTCAGTGCGTTTACTCAGCAGTAGCGGAGGTTTACATGTATGCCAGTTCCAGAGCACTTTGTTCATGTCGCCTTCTTTTCGGATTCCTAGAAGCCTCTCCTCATCACTCTTCTGTTTTTCTCCATCCTCATCTTTATTACCTTTCCCTTTCTTTGCAGGGGACTGTGGAAGCTGTGAAACAATTTCTCCACTGATGCTCTCAAAGTATTGCTGTATGCAGACTTTGGCGAAACTCTTGGCGTGCTCTTTGCACGTTTCGTCAAATAGTTTGCGCTCTGTGTCAATGTAATGCGACCAGTATTTGGTTTTTAGAAAAGCAGCTTGGGTAAAACAAGGTCTTATTGCCCTTACCAAGAAGGCTACGAGAGTTATAACCATCAAAAAGGTCCATCCGCATGCCTAAAGAAAATGAAAACACAACAGATTAGTGCCTTACATAATTTATCTTTCTCAAATCTTTTGTAGATGTAAAGATAATCTTGTAAATGTACAAGATTGCAGCGTGGTCCTGTAGCGTACTTGATTGTCAAGTAGCTATCGATTGAGCAAATAATGCACATGAGGATGACACCACCACTTTAATGAAAACTAGTTTTTGTAGTTTACATAAAGAGGATAACAGTATTTTCAAAACTTGAAATTTCAGGATGCCAAAATTGTACTGTTAAAAAACTATTCACCAAAATGCATTATAGTTTTAGATGCCATAAAAAAACAATTGTATAATTAAACACAGCCATATATATATATATCGACCCGCAGCCCAAGACCTGCTCAACACTGAAACTAAACAGAGCTGAACCTGGTTAGTACCTGGGTGGGCGACCACTTGGGAAAACTAGAATGCTGTTACTGTGATGTTAGGGAGGCCAGCAGGGGGTGCTCAACCTGCGGTCTGTGTATGTCCTAATGCCCCAGTACAGTGATGGGGACACTATACTGTCAGTGAGCACTGTCTTTTGTATGAGACGTTAAATTGAGGTCCTGACTCTCTGTGGTTGTTGAACATTGTGTAAACCCCGGTGTCTTGGCCTTCAAGGCCTCCCAATCCACCTTCATTGAACTGGCTGTATCACTGTCTCTCCTCTCCACCTGCAGCTGGAGTGTGGTGATCACACTGGCGCTGTTGTCCTGTGGCTGCCACCGCATCATCTAGGTGGATGGTGCACACTGGTGGTGGTGTGGAGAGACCCCTCACACTATTGTATAGTATTCAAGAGTATGGCAATAAACAATAAATGCACTACATAAATGCACATCACTATATTACTGATCTTTACTCATCTATATTTCTCTGTGTAGCATGTTTGATATTACAACTTTACCATAGGCAGATTTTATATTAATTTAGATGATGGTGATCCTTACTAAACAAAAATGTCAAGCAGGCATAAGCATATCATAAAACGGAAAACAGTAACAATTGGGTTCCCCTCAGGCTCAGCATGTAAAAGTTTACATAAAAAATTCTCTATTGTGTTATATATATAACATATATTGTGTTATGTATATTTAATATAGGTGAGGTCAGCAATGAGGCAATTTATTATTGCTCCGTCTGTTGCTAAATCATTGTACTATTTCTTTATAGTTAAATTGATTTTTATTTTTAATAGTCTATTATTAATCAATCTTGTATGCTTCAGCTTAAACCATTTTTATTGTTCTTTTATGTATTTTCAACATATTTTTGTATATATTTGTAAATGTTGTTTAACTGAATTGTATTGAAAAACTTACCCATGATGATGCTTTACATAAAACAATCTACCAATTGGACAATTATGGTAATAATACCAAAAAGAGCTTGCACTAACTGCCCTTCTAAAATACACAGTAAGTAGTGCAAATGGCATGAGTTCTCTCATGTGTAAAAAAAATGTTTTTGAAAATGTTTTGAATTTTAAAATTGTTTATGTGGACATAATCTGCTCATTTGAATACATCTTATTGATCCATTCTTTTTATTTGGATTGTTTGTTAAATTGATTGATTCATGAATGAAATTTTAATATTTTACTCACTCTCAATAGCATTCAAAATATGTTTCTTTAGGGAAAAAAAGAAGCTGAAATGGAAGAAGCTGAAACTGTGACCATTTGTGACTAATAAAATTAAAGTTGTTTTGGCTGGTTTTAATTTTATTATTATTATTATCAATGTAATGGTAGCCATTTACTGACACTTTGAATCACCAAAGTCCAGTTTTACTTTAGTAAAATGGTCACTCAATTTGGATGCCCTGGGGATGGATAAATTAGCTTTAAGTACATTTTCCCTCTAGATTTCATATATATATTTTTTAAAATAAAAGTTTGTAAATATTATTTACCTCATCTCATAGCTGGTTGGCTTAATGGCTGCAGTACTTTAACTGAGACTTTTAAAGTCCCTTTATGAACGAAAAAGGAGCAGCAGAACTGGCAGGCAGGCATGCATTCACTAATACCGCATTCGAAGAACAGGTCATTAATGAATCATAATCAATTACAACGTGTGTCCTTTTCAAGATCAAAACTGCGAAACATTACATCTCCCAGCGTTAAGCTTAATACTACTATTTGAAACAAAATAAAATTTAGGAATGAAGTTATGAAATAATCCAATTACCTGTGACAAACAGCGAATATACCTAGTGGCCGCTTCTCTGGAAATAATCTCATGCTCTTCAAATATGTCTTTACACGGAATCTTTGCTTGAATTTTCAGAAGCTCTTTTTGTGATAAGCTTTGATAGCTCTCGTTGACAAACTCGGATAAATCCGCCGTGGGACTGAAGGCGCACAAAAAGCTCTTGCCGTCCATTAAAGTCACGGCTATCCATACAGCCGGAGCGATGAGAGCGCGCTGCGTCATGGAGCTGAACATATAGCGCAATACCGCCGGATCTTTGCTGCGCTTTCCAACGGGTCTCTTCCATTCTTCGGTTAACACTGATATGTTATTGTTCATTACATATCCAAGTAAGAAGAACCATATTGGCGGAACGATGAGAATGCCGATGCCATAGGCATAATTGTAGTCTGGAAGGCAAGGGCATGTAAACTCAAATGAGGAATACATCTGAGCACTTGCCAGAGCCATGATGCCACAGATGCCATTCATGAAGGACTCTTGGTTGGCTTGCAGAAACTGGACCATAATCCGAAACTTATCCATTTTTAAAACGGGATTTCACCTTTTAAAGCAAAAAAGATCAATGTTATACACTTGTTACAGTTGAGAAATAATAGATAATAACTTGTACTGTAATAAACAAGAACTTACTCTGCCTTGTCAGAGAATGAAGAGAGAAAGACTGCTAAAGCAAAGCTGAATCCGCCACACTGATGAAACTTCACCTTGTCAACTTAATGCATCAATGCACATGACTGACAGATGGCCCCTCCTTTTCAGGCTCTTTCCTCACCTACATAGATGGGTGTGATTTCCGTCCTCACCTTGCCTAGTGCTTAAATTGTTTATTTTCAGAGAAAACGTATATCTAAATGACAAAAGATTTATGTAATGACTGATCATTTAAAACCTGAACCGAAGTCAAATGTAAAGACATGGGCAATAAACACAGAAATCAGTGATGGTGTCTCCCATAGAGCTAAAACTATAATTATTTATTTATTATCAATAAATACACACAAACTGTTCATAAATATACAATACATTGTCTTTTTTCAGGTGCTTCTGAGGTTCAGCAGTCATTTGCATCCAAGCCATATCCATGAGGTTGTTGTGTAATGTGTGTGGAAAGAGACATGCAAAATTACACAAACTAAATCCCAGCATATTCAAATGCACTAGCATGCAAGCTCTGGAACAAGGTAAAAACTAAATCTTTCAGAATGTTCTCAACAATAATCTGATAGTAATATCACAATTAAAAGCATTGTGTTCTCTTTTGCAAGATTCCTTGAGATCAGTTTTATTTGAGTTTTACACATCAGAGAATAATGGCCTTCCACTGTGGTCTTCCCAAGTGATACATGCTTTGGGTTTATAGGCCATCTTGGTCACGTCGAGTTCTGGTTTGCATTCGTACCATGTTTGCAGCAAATGATCCACCTGATCTTGTCTGGTTATACCATGCAAACGCTCCTCTTCTTCCTCTCCAAATTCATTTTGCACTGTGCTGTATCTGGGTGCACTGGAGAGGGGCATTCTCACAGTCACGTTCTCCCGCATGTTCTCAAAGAACTGCAGCACACTTTTTCTGGCAAAATCTCTTGCATGAAGGACACAGGTCTCATCGAAAAGCTTCTGTTCCATGTCCAGGTAATTGCTCCAGTAACGTGTCTGGAGAAAAGTTGCGTGATTGAAGCAAGGCTTGATGACGCGAGCCACTGCACCCAAAAAAATGAGGAAGAGGAGGATTGACCAGCCTATTGCCTTAAAGAAGATAAATTGAAGGAGAAGAATAGATGAATCATCTGGTTATGCAAAGCATGAAAGAATTTAAACACCTACAGGTCTGTTCCTTTGAACTTTGTACAGCTCAATCTTACTTAGCATCTGTCAAGTCAAAAGTGACAATGACAACTACGGTCCATTGAAAGAAGGCTATGTATGAACTTTTGAGAAATACAGTAAAAACAATTGAGACAACTCGCTCACCTGAGAGTAACAACGCACATAGCGTGAGACAGCTTTCCTAAAACTGCTGTTTCTGAAGATAACATCTTCTTTGCATGGCACCTTAGCCATGATCTTGACCAGTTCCAGGCCAGTGCTGTTGGGTATCCCTGTGAAATATTTGGGGTCTACATTCATGCTGAATGCACATATAAAACATTTTCCGTCCAGCAGTGTCATCAGAATCCAAACCATGGGTGCCAGAAGGGCCCGTTGCATCATTGATGACAGCAGAAATCTGTGAGAAAGACATTTTAACATGTTTACATTAATAATAGGAATGTTATTATGACGCATAACATTGTTAACATTAATTTCAAACTTACTTTACTACCGCCGGATTTTTTGCCCTCTTGCCAAGGGGTCTGACCCATTCTTCCATTAGCACCCCTGTATGACGATTAACTAACACTCCCAAAAGAAGAAGTATAATTGGAGGCACGAACATGACCCCCATTGCGTACATTTTGTTATATTGCGGTAAACAGGGGCAGTTGAAATCAAAACTAGTATACAACTTGACGCTTATCAGTGACAGTATTATACAGATACCATTGGAGATCGACTCAGAATTTGACTGGAAATATTGCAGTACCAACTTTAAACGATCCATTAACAGATTACGTTACAGCTAAGTGGTTTTAAATGTGTAAAAATTCTTTAAAAACTCTATAAACAAATGTGTAGGCTACTTATCTGACAATGACCGCCAAATAGCCTGTTGTGTCTGCGTTGCACAGAAAGTAAAGAAAAAAAACTCGAATAATTTAAATCTCACTGGAAAGCTGTTTTATTAAATGTATATAATTTTCTGTATCACGTAGTTACGAATCCTTAATCAGTATTAACACATCTCTCGAGCTCTGCGTGCTGAAGTGATGGCTTTGCTTGTCAAAAGCGCGCTCCTGTAATCTCTTTTTGGACACGCCCAGATGTGCGCGCGCCAAATACCTGACATTATTATTTAAAAACTGGTTTGGTTTCGTCTGATATTTTTTGATAGCTGATTATTTTAAGACCTATAATTATGAAAACTGTACCTAAATGCTTAATTATAGAGCAAATATGACTTATTTTTTTATTTATTTCCTTGACTGAATGGTTCTCGCGACTGAAACAATAATTAGGCTTGTATGCTATCATTCGAAATTACAGATCTACTAAAAATCATTTAGATTAGATTGGACTCAACTTTATTGTCATTACACATGTACGTATACCCTCACAGATCTATCCTTTAAATTCACATTGAAGCTATACAATATATTTGTGCACATACATTAGATTGGTCAGTACTGAAGCCAAATCTGGAGCTTATCTAACAAAATAACCTATAATAACGATTTAAAAACTAGAACACTCAAACAAACAAAAAAAATTAAATACAAATTTTAAAAAGAGGAAAAATCAAGAGAAACGAAAAAATAGAAAAAGTTTGTTAAAAGTTTGTAGGTTGTAATTTTTGTGCAATATTTTGCTTGAATTTGTTTCTATTATATTTCAATTACTAAATATGTCTGGTGACTAAAATATTATTTTAATAAATATATATGTTTAATAGATCTGTTTACCAAAATACATTTCCTTATATTCACTGAGAAATGGATAAAAAAAATCATTTTCAAAATGGGGTGTGCTCAATTATGCTCGATATATGTTGAGTACTGCAGATATTAGCCTATAAAGTGCAATTTTAAAAAAAATATGGTGATATTTTACAAATGGATCTACTATGAACATTATACACAATGCGTTAATAGAGATTTACAATAGATGAATACATACAGGTTGCTATTAATAATCAGAGGTATGCAGATATGAAAAACGTAAATTTATTTTTAAACTGGCACAACATTCATTCATTCATTTTCTTTTTGGCATACTCCTTTTATTAACCTGGGGTCGCCACAGCGGAATGAACCACCACCTTCCAGCTGCAACCCATCACTGGGAAACATCCATACAAATACATACAATACGGAAAATTTAGCTTATCCTATTCACTTATATACCACTTTGGACTGTGGGGGAAACCAAAGCACCCAGAGGAAACCCATGGGGAGAACATGCAATCTTCAAATAGAAACGCCAACTGACCCAACCGAGGCTCGAACTAGCAATCTTCTTGCTGTGAAGCGATGGTGCTACCCACTGTGCCACCTACATGTTCTTATAATTAGAAATTAAGTAAAATAGTACAACCTGCAAGTAAAAATCAGACTATCAACTGTTCTTACATCACCTGTTATTGTAGTTTACAGCAAGTAGAAATAAAAAACAGCATACCATCGCTACCAAGTCTTAATTACCAAGATTAGCAGCACCCATTACAATAGCATTTCTTAAATGTTTGAAATGATCTTCTTGTCAACAGGTTTTCTGACAACCACTGTCTCTTAAAACGCCATTGTTGTTGAATTTTGGTGAGGTAGCGACCTCTTGTGGGCGTATCTGTCCTTCGACTTAAGCAGCCACTGCGCATGTCTTTAAGCCTATAATTTTCCTTAACGTATTAAACCTGATCTGTATGTTGTATCTCGGCAAATCACTTATTAATAATGTTTTAATTCTCAAACACGGAAGTTATGCTCATTTGTATTTAAGCATTTTATTTTTAATTGCATGGACATCCATATGAACTAATAATAAAATTGTAACTAGTGGTGACTTTAGAACTTTTCCTCACGTCGAGGAAAGTGTGTGCTGTCCCCAGAGAATAGTCTCTCTATGCGTGCGTGTGTGAGACATTTGATGTTGACTCAAGAGCGGGGCTGAGTCTGACCCACGTGCTTTTTATAGAGGAGCGAAACGGCCTCACTGGTCACTTCCTGGATGTGAGAGCAGCTTCAAGTCGTCGTGTGGAGCAGATGAGGAAACCGAGGAGTAACGGAACCGCGCTTTCTCTCGTGTCGGTTCAGTTTCAGGCTGAAACAATGAGCAACGCTGGACTTTAACTCTTGGATTACGGTGTAAGTTACTATTGTGTTCTTGGCTAAAAGAAAGACCCGCCACGAGTGGTATCGTTACAAATTATTCAAGTGACCGTAACAGCTGTGATAAAAACAACAACAAGACTCTCGTAAAACATCGCAAGACGTCAACGTAAAACTGAAATAAGCAGATTGTGTCGTTTTGAAGGAGAAGCTGTAAGATGCTCTTCCTTGTAGTCGTTAGTTATTGCGTCACCGCCCTCTGATCTTCACGCTTGAGGCGTTTGCTCATTTCTTAAACCTACCAGTGACTTTAATCATTAAAGTCCCGCATTTGAACAGTGTTTCTGTCGTAATAGTGTCTAACTGTTTTCATGTTTGTTTAGTAATGTTGTAATTGTCTAGACTCCGCCCTTTTAGTGTTTTGTGGATCGTGGGAATCTTTTCAGCGCCACACCAATTCCACAATTAATTTCTTCACTGGAGCTCGACTGGTGTGAGTCAGATACCCATGCTGGCATCATGTAAACTATGAAGACCTATTTTGATGATGTTTTATTATGTTTAACTAAGAATATTAATGCAGTTTCACATGGATATTTATTTTCATTAATATTTATTTAATGTACAATTCCAAATCATGACCAAGTTGTTTGTATCTCTCTTTTATAAAGAGAATACACTAATAAGGGCACATATTTGGGCCTGAACGGAAATAAGAAGTAAAACAGAAAATAGAAACCACCCCTTCCTCTGCACAGTGGGGAGAAGGTGATGAACTTTCAGAATGAATCACATGGTCAAAGTTTTTTTTAATAAGCTGTTTGATCTTCTTACACCACAGGTCTTAGGTTTGAAAACATTAAGATTTGGTAGAATTTTACATCTAGTCATTTAGCAGATGTCTTTGTCCAAAACGGCTTAAATTAAAGAAGTATTAAGTGATTCAATAAGACAAGGCTGTAGGGTTGCACGGTTTACCGATACTGTGGCTCTAAAATACTTTTTTAAACAGTAGTATTATCATTAACAGTTCTACAATAGTTAATATTGCATGTGAAATAATTCAATCAATCAATGATTTTATTTATTTTATTATTATTATAACAGCAAAAGAGTCACAGTACAAATAAAGCAGAGAAAGTCTGTATGAATAATACTTTTTCAATAATAAGTGAATTAATAAATAATATGTATTACAACATATAAAATATAGTATTTCTCACTGTTTGCTTCGTTTCATAGATTTGAATTATAAATTAATACAGTATAAAAATACTACCTTGTATTGTGATACTTCAGCTGGTGTAGTATCGTGACATGAATTTATGGTATCTTGACAACTCCACAAGGAAGTACACACAAGAAGTGTGTTATAAAAAGGAATTGTTTGTGCTCAGAAAAATAAGTGCTAGAGTTAGGGAGAAGTTTCTACAGATGGTTTGTCAAACCCACCCACCTGTGTGAATCTCGCTCTATAAATGCACAATGTTTTTTTGTTTGTTTGTTTGTTTTATGATCACAGAAAGGCTGCGTATATTTATTGAAAAATCCAATATAAAAAATCTTTCCATTTTAATTGTAATATGATTGTCAAATATGCAAAATTGCTGCTTTTTAATAATTCATTATTATTAATGCACTTATTAATTATTATTATTATTAATGCTCATTTACAGGTTTATATTACCATCTTTCATGATATGTTGTTTTTTCAGCATCGTTTTCTGAAAACATGGACACGTTTTACTTTTATGATTCTTTGATGATTAGATTTTTCAAAATGACATTTAAAGAAAATATTTTTTTTTACATTATGCATGCATGTAACATATGTATGATTGAATGTTTCCAGGATGAATAAAAGGGGATTAGGTTTATTTTATTGTATGTTTGAATAGAAATGTATCATAGTTTACAAAAGATATGGAGCAGAAAAACTGTTTCTAACATTGATAACAATAATAAATGTTTCTTGAGCTCCAAATCAGCTTACTCAATTAGTTTATGAAAGATCATGTGACACACTGAGTACTTGAATAAACTTGAAAATTCAGTACTTGAAAATTCACATTTGAATCGCAGTAAGGTTTTATGTTAAAATCCTAAATAAATTAATTTAAATTGAATAATATGTCATAGAATTATGTTTTTATAGTATTTTTAATCAATGTAGCCTTGGTGCCATGTTCGAAAACATTACAAGAATTGCACTGTTTACAAAATTCTGACTAAAATTCTGACTTTTTGCAACCTGAAACCAAGTGCATAAAAAGTGCATAAATACAGTTATTTTTGCATTTTTCAGGACTGAATATTTCCTATGTACTAAAGAAAATAATTATTTAAACATTGCTAAAATAACTTGATTATACTTAAGCATAAGAAGTTTTGTTAACAGTACAATTTAAAAAAAGAATAAGAACGTTTACTTGCCGTATTACCAGTTGTTTTCATGTAACTTGTAAGTGTAAATAAAAAACTAAAAATAATGTTTAACTTAAGATATCAAATCAGAAGGCTGTTTTTCTATTTAATGTCTGTACACAAGACTAACAAAACATGTCTCCAATCCTTGAAAAAATTTTTGGACACCAAAGTGTACCAGATACATGGAATGTGCCAGTAGCTTGCAAACAGTATAAATATGGCATTTTATCAGCTTCATACCAAGAGTCACTCAGACTCTTAAGTGCCACACCATAAATAAACCAATTACATAACTTCCCCCTTAGTGTATATACAACATTCCATCCTTGGCTTTAGTCAAGTCAAAATGTCTAAATTCTTTGCAGAGATCAGATTACATAAGTTTTCTTTTACCCAATGAAACAGAAAAAGTAATTAAGCATTTCCCAGGTTATCTAGCTGGGTTAATTCATGTTTATTAAGGGTTATCTGACTTCCTTTCCCGGTGCAGGACAGTCTTTGTATTCGAGTTTACAAATAACACTCTGACAATGGCATGTTTTATTTTTTCTTACAAAAGCTAGAAGTGTTTTTAATTCAAAAATGTGTTTTCCCAGACACACACTAAAGGATGCAAGGTGCGATTGCACGAGTTTGCATGGTGGTAGTAGCGGCAATCCTCAACCACCCCCTTCTTTTCCCCAACGAAAACACCACCGTCCCCGAGCAAGATGAAGACCTCCTGGCCCGGATGAAAGAGCATCAAGAGAAACTTGAGGCTGAACAGAAGCGCCTGGAGCAGGAGATCTCACAGAATGAAACATCTGTGATCGGTGATCAAGACGGTTATGGCTGGTACTTTTGGAGTGCCCTCTGCCTTGTCATTTTCTTTACGATTGAGGTTTGCAGGCAGGATATAATCCCTGCTGAAATTCCAGACCCTGCAGAAGACGAAGATGGAGATTGCAGTACTGGTTATCTCAGCGCTAAGTCTATCGTATTAGATAGAGGTACCCTAAATAACTTCTGCAGGACCCGCTTCTTTCCTTACACCAATGAAAGTGGTAGAGTGCGGGAATTTATTGAGGGCTTTGCTGATGATTTGCTGGAGGCATTGAGAAGTATTTGTGACCTGGAAGCTGACCTGGAAGTTGAGGACTTTGTTGGGATAGGCAGTATGTTCGAATCCTGGAGGGTCTCTAAACCTCCTACATGTGACCTAATTGTGCCTTTTTCTCCTCCGCAACCACTCAGGTTTCAGTTTGAACTCTGGTGCGACCCTTCCACTGAAATCCCACTAGACCTGCAGGGATGTGGAAGGATTCAACTCATTAAACCCGGTGGAAATGGCACGGATTGTCTTTGTGGCTCTACCGATCTTGGTGATGATATGCTGTGTTTGCTTCATAATAGAAATGAGTGTGAAGTACTTGAGGACAATGCTTTGCCGGAGCTCCTCTGTGCAAGGGACACCACATATTTGTCAAAAGGTCAGATCATGAGATGTTTCCAGATTTCTGTGAGCAAAGCTTGGGGCCAAATCTCTCATAAGTACGACTTTGAGCTGGCATTTCGAAACCTGGACTTTCCTGGAGCTCTGAAAATCAAATTTCCATCCGGAAAGACAGTCGTCCTTAATCTTACCCCTGCTGTTCAGTTTGAGAACACGGATGCTTACCTCATCTCTCATTTCCCATCTGACACTAGCAAGTCCTCAGACACTCATTGGCAACTCTCGCTAAGCGTTTATGAGAAGAATCTGCTTAAACACCTAGCGAAAAGCCTTCCTACTAATTCCTGTCACATTCATTGCCTTCAAATAGTTGCTTTTTTGCACAAAAAGCAGACCACATTGACAGGGAGAAGTGCCTTTTGTAATTATCATATAAAAACAGCGCTGTTGCATTTGTTGTTGAGTAAACGTCCTGCAATGTGGCAGCCGCAGAATCTCGATAGCCGATTACGAGATCTGCTCAGCTTCCTTCAACAAAGCCTGGAAGAAAAGAAACTCTATCATGCTCTTGTTGGGAACTCTCGCATCCCGGTTGAAATTCTTGTTCCCAAAATAATTCGTACCGCAGAGCCGATAAACTTATATAGGCCTCTTGTGTTACAAAGACACGTTTACGCCAAAATGGAGGAGCATTTTGAGGAGATGGTCAGAAATACCTCAGTGCTTGTTCAGGAATATACGCCTCATTTTTCGAATGGTCACGTGAGGCATGAATTCAGCTCAGCGGAGCAAATTTAGACTCTGGTTTCGAGTGCTGGGAACTTCAACAGCCTCATTACATGAAGTAATGCACCTTCAATGTAAACCACATATTAAGCACTGACTGTTACTGTTGCGATTATGATGTATGGGGTTTCTTCAACTATGGACACTTTTAGATCATAGGTGCAACTTAAAACTATTTTTATATATAAAGGCCACATTAAAATAAGTTGGAAAGTTTTTCTTGTATTATTTCACAAAGGGGAAAGCTGTCAGTAGAGAACATGCTTGATTTTTTTTTGTTTGTTTTGTCATGAGCACATGGTTGAAGAAACACCCTCTCGTTGTTCATCTGGCAGCTGTTTCAGGGTCTTATTTCAAATTATGTCATGCTAGCCTCATACATTATGTAACATTATCAGAGTATGGGACTTGTGTATGTGCCAACACTTAAGAGATTGTTGATAACAGCACCGCCAAGCAACTACAAGCCACTGTAAACAGTGGTGTAGATGTCAAAGCTGCTTCAAATTCTGAAATCTGTCCTGTATATTGTGCTGCTGCTTATTTTACTGTTTTATAAAGAGTTTGATTCCTTTTTTAATTGGTCTGCACAGTAGCAGGGGAATTGTTTTACTTGACACTTTGTGTATGGAATTACATTTCTTATTATAATCTTTATTTAAAATATTTTTGTATTTTAAACATACACACACACACACGAGAATTGCACTAAACAAACTTGTAAGTCGTTTCCCCTACCAGGAAGCAATGTGTTGCAGCCTTACAGCATGTAGTGTATGTCTTAGCTGCATTTACTCTCGCCTAAAAAGGAAAGCAACTTCTATAATGATTAAAGAAATAAACAAAAGAGTGCATGTTTTGTCCATATATTTTATACATTGGTTTATTTAAATTCATGTTAATATACCCATTGTAGCCTTTTTAATTAAAAAAAATCATGATTAGTCTCAGGTCTTAGGCTTAAAAGCTAAATTTGCTGTCAATTCAGTCGAAATATACAGACAAAGAAAGATGTAATGATACACATTCCATAGATAGACCGACAGCAGTGCATTTTAATCTATAAACCATAGTCATAATTAGGTTTTCCATCCATGTAGCTGTCGAAGAACACCTTGTGGACGTCGGTGTTGAACATGGTGGCTTTCACAACTGGATCCTCAAACATGAGTTCAATCCACTTCCTCAACTCAGGCGTCTTGGCCAGACAACTGAAAAAAGAAGTGAATAGAAATGCAGAACTATTATACCAATAATAATAAACTACTATACTATGGAGAAATAAACCACAGGATTGCATTCATTAGATTGCATTCATTACTTTAAGAACAAGCACCTTTTCCTCTCTTTTTCTTTGTCTGCACAAAGTTCACCAAGCATAGTTCTAACCAAAGCCCTGCCTTTGTTAATCTCAGTCATTCATCTTTCTTTTGCAAATCTGCTTGACTTCACCTCCATGACTCAGCAGCATGCTATTGCTACTGCTTGTCAGGTCAAATGGCAGTACATTTTTGTTATCATTGTACATTCATTTTATATATTATTTTCTACTGCTATTAATAGTAATAAAAAAAGAACATACTGCTTCACTCCCATCATCTCTGCCCTCTCAAACCATGGCCAGATCAGGTAATCAATCATTGTGATTGAATCTCCCCCAAAATATTTGGTCTTCTTGTTTGCCAAAGCCTGAAAATTAAAATATATTATTAAAGATTGTAATTAAAAGTTGAATAATATACACTATATATATATATATATATATATATATATATATATATATATATATATATATATATATATATATATATATATATATATATATATATATATATATATAAATTATATCTACCTCGTTTAATTGGACAAGTTTTTCTGTAAATTCAGCTTCAGCTGTTGAGACGTCCTCTCCTCTTTTCTTGCCCATAGAGATCTTGTAGAAGTATGGGATCACCTGCAGAGAGGATGAATTCGCTTGAAATATATGCATTTGAAATCATTAATATAATTACTAATTTTTAACTTGACTAATTAACCAATAGGATTAATAATTAATATGATATATCAGCTATTTAGTTATAAACATTTTACCTTTTGGTTATTGTTGTTTCCTTAAAGGGATAGTTCGCTCAAAAAATGAAAATTCTTTCATTTACTCACCCTTGTTTAAAACCTTCCGTTGAAGATGATATTTTGAAGAATGCTGGTTCCTGGGACCCATTGACTTCCCTAGTAATTATTTTCCTTCTATGGAAGTTAATGGGTGCCAGCAACCAGCATTCTTCAAAATATCTTAAACAGAAGAAAAAAATCTTACAGGTTTAAAACCACATTAAGTGCGAGTAAATGATGAGGTAATTTTCATTTTTGGGTGAGCTATGCCTTTAACTGATTACACAAACACTGTTAAGTAAACTGGTAAGTTCTGACATCGACATTACATTAGTAAACTGACATTGCGATATTTCGTTTTTCTGCTATATGAAGAGTTTAGATGTGAAAACCTCCAAGTGCCTTCTGAACTTTTCATCTAAAATTAGCATGTTTCCAACGCTGTTGGGTGTAGGTTTTCATGGACTTGTTCAGTTATTTCACTTTAAAGGTAACGAAAAAAGCCTGTTCTTTGCCATAAAAAGTTAAATTACGAAACCCAGGGTGTCTTAAAAAGTATTAAAAGTTGATCAAGCAATTATGAGAAAATGAAAAAAGGTATTAAAAAGTATTAATCACGTTTTTAAGAGGTCTTAGATTTTGTTCAAGAGTTGTCCAAAGTGTTTGACTATAAAAAACCAAAAATATTTTTATTTTCCTCCTAATATTAGCAATGGCGTGATCGATCTACGTTTGATTTGGGCCAGGGTGCGCCCGGCCAAGCTCCTCTGTTCGGGTGATGTCACATAATTTGTGAAACATGGTGAGGTGATGTGATGCTCTCCATGTGTAGCAAAACCATAGAGCAGAACAGACGGCAAAATAGAAAAATGTAAGTTTGCGTACTTCTGGTTGGAGAAAGACTTTTAAACAGTGGCTTTAATGCTGCTTAAATGTTTTCTGTGAAGTCTAACAGTATTGCGGCAATTCAAGAAATGTTAAAAACACTGTATAATCTTCATCTTACAGCTTATTTAAATCTAATCTCACACAGTGACAGGTCGTAACTTTAAGATTCAGTTGAACTTTGAGATGATACAAATCACATGCGTTCTTAACTGTGGTTCCTGGTTATTATAATTCCAACTCAACAGATTCTGCGATTCAGTAACTGTTGCAGATTTGCACATTGCGAGATCGATACAATGTGCAGCCCTAAATACAGTAATTCAGTCTTTAATATTTTATACAGTACCAGTTAGTTACCTTTGAATAAAGCTCCAGCAGCATTTTCTGTTGAGCCCTCTCAAACGGGTCAGACGGGAGCAGCTTCTTCTCAGGATAGACCTCGTCCAGGTACTCACAGGTGATCGGAGACTCATAGATTACCTGACCACTGGAGGTTTCCAACACTGGCACTGTCCCAAAAGGATTCTTCTTCAGAAACCAATCAGGCTTGCTTACCAAATTGATATTGATAATGTCATGCCTGTTTAAAGGGAAATCAAATATTGATTTTCTTTGACGCCAGTACACATCTAATGTTAATCTATGCTCTTTTTAAAGTATCACATATACACACATTAGCTCCTGCATCTAAACAAAGACTGCATTAGTACTCACTTCACTCCCTTGGCAGTGAGTACCAGCCTGGTTCTCTGAGCAAAAGGGCAGAATCTCATGCTGTAGAGCCGAATCTGACCATTCGGCACCGGTCCAGGAGCAGAACATTCTGTTTCACCAATGGGACACAAAAATAAAAAAATTTACATGCAAAAGTGGCCAGGGAAAAACTGCCATGAATCAAATCAATATAAAACAAATGGTTAACTGCATCTGAAACAAAAGTCTGTTTTGATATTATATATATGCGTGTACTATGTATATATAAATACACACATGCATGCAATTATTTGAGAACATTATATTTAGATATAAAATATATAAGCATATGATACAAATTATATATAAATTGACATGTATAGTTGAAATCAGAATTATTGGCCCCTCTTTGAATTTCTTTTTTAAAATATTTCCCAAATGATGTTTAACAGAGCAAGGACATTTTAACAGTATGTCTGATAATATTTTTTTTTCTTCTGGAGAAAGTCTTATTTTATTTCGGCTAGAATAAAAGTAGTTTTTAATTTTTTTTTACCATTTAAAGGTCAAAATTATTAGCCCCTTTAAGCTATATATTTTTTCGACAGTCCATGGAACAAACCACTGTTATACAATAACTTGTCTAATTACCCTAACCTGCCTAGTGTTGGAAAAAAGGAACTTATTTTTTATTACTTTTGTGTCTTTATTTTTATTAGAAAAATGTTTAGACTAACAACAGATTAATCAAACTTTTCTATTGTATCATACCACATCTTGACCTGACACACAATTTAGGGTGGGGGCCCTTGTTCCAGACTGCTGTCTGGACATGTCAAAAGTTGTCATGATGCCTGTAGAAGTTGTGAAATATATTAAAGATGCACATAATTGTTCAGTTCTGGTATGCAGAGAAGGGTTGCAGAAAGAGGAAGTATATCTGGGGGTACAAGAGTCAAAGGACTGCAGAATGACTGATATGTGACGTTACACCAAACTCCACCTGTTAATATTAGTTATGTATATATGCTGAAGTCAGGAAATGTATGTTAGTTGCAAACCTCTTGATTCTTGTATTGCATTGGGGTAGCGTAACCCAGAGCTGTCATCGAATTATTCATTTGTATCTAATAAATTACTAATATTTTTGGCATTGAAGAAAAACATTCTCCAGACCTTTTCTTACTGAACACGCATAGTGTTGGAATATCCAGCCAATTCTAGTTAACCTAATTAACCTAGTTAAGCCTTTAAAAGTCACTTTAAAATGTAAAGAAGTGTCTTGAAAAATATCTAGTCAAATATTATTTGCTGTCATCATGGCAAAGATAAAATAAATCAGTTATTAGAAATGAGATATTAAAACTATTATGTTTAGAAATGTGTTAAAAAAATCTTCTTTCCGTTAAACAGAAATTAGGGGAAAAATAAACAGGGCGACTAATAATTCAGGGTGGTTAATAATTCTGACTTCAACTGTATGTACCAAAACTGTTTTGTCTAGTTTTGTTTGAATGCATGTATCACATATTCATAATACACACACATACACACACACACACACACACACACATTTTACGTCAAAACAAACTTTTATTTTGGTTGCGATTAATCAGATTGATCTTTGCCCAGCACTAAAAAAAATTTAGTGTTAAGTTTTTGTCTTGTTGGCTTAGTCGCTTTATTAATCCAGGGTCGCCACAGCGGAATGAACCGCCAACTTATCCAGCACGTTTTTACGCAGCGGATGCCCTTCCAGCCGCAACCCATCTCTGGGAAACAAAGTTCTTAATTATTTATGAAAAATTATATTTTAATATTCAATTCCTTACATCAGAAAAAAAGTCATTAAAACAATGACAATATAATGCCAATGTCTGCTAACATAGTGAGGGAATTTTGTGCAATCAAAAATTAATTATGGAAACTAGCTCAATATTTATGCAGATGGACATACATTTTATTTTATTTATGTGTATTTTCAGATACAACTGTCTAGAAAATTTACCATGGTTTTACTATGCTAATGGTATTTGTAGTAAAAATTAAAAATGGCTATTACTGCGGTCAAGTTACAGCGCTCAGCAGTACAACCCTTTACAAATCTCTTTTAAATTCATATTTTTAATAGGAAGCTATGCAATACTACATTTGTGCATATACATTAGATTAGTTAGTACTGAAGCCAAATGTGGAGCTAATCTAACAAAATAACCTATGATAATGGTCCAAAACCTAGTTCAGCCAAATTTGTTACAGAAAAATATTAAATACAAAATTGAAAAAAAGGGGGAAAACAAAAGCAAAAATAAAATAAAAACTTTGTTGAAATATTGTAGGTTAAAAATTATTATTATTATTTTTTTGCAATATTTTGCTTGAACTTAATTGTATTATCTTTTAATTTCTAAATATGTTTGGTGGCTAAAATATTACTTAAAAAACATATCTATTTAATAAATCTGTTCTGTTTAAATGCACAAAAAAATTATATATATATATATATATATATATATATAGAGAGAGAGAGAGAGAGAGAGAGAGAGAGAGAGAGAGATAGATTCACTGAGAAATGGAGAAAAATATTGATTTTCAAAAGGGGTTGTACTCAATTATGCTGAGCACTGTACAACACGTTCAGATACAATCATGTTTCTTTTTTGTAAGGAAAGTCACAGATCAAACAGTGCAACATTTTCTCTAATTTCCATTGCATTACTTACCTTTTCCGAGGCATTTTGGAGATGAAGCCATTGTAGTGGTCGAAGTGTTCTCTTGCAGAAGAGTCGTACTGTTGAAATAAACAATCGAATCGAAACAAACATGAGCGCGTTTTGCGGATAAGGATTTAAAGAAGAATGTGTTACATAACGCACTGAAAGGAGGAGAGGAAAATACTTTCGAGACTATTATGCCAAACATTTTGCTAAAATCAAGCAAGCTTTCATTCGATGACAGCTTACCTGTTGATCCCTGTCAACCGTGAAGCTGAGAGGAGTGGAAGTGAAGTTTTTATAGAAGGAAAGGTGTGGCTGAAGAGTTATGACTCCTCCTCTCACATACAAACATCCATGTTACTTTCAAAATAAAGCACTGCTAGTCTACAAAATTAGTTCGTTACGTGTAGGAAAAGGTCTTTACTAAGGCATTGACAGTTATCTCGTATTAATTGTACAACAACTAGACAAACAACTCAGAAGTCTATACATCCTGGTGCGCGGTTTTACTGTACACCCTTCTGAATTTTGCCGTGTCATTTTACATGTACTGTGTCAACAATAGCTACTGTATCATGTGTGGTACTGCCAACATGACACTGCGCGGCTCCAAGATTACTTTTGTAGCTTTAACGTTACATTGTTCTTTCAGGAACTGTATCGTAGGCTAATACTTGTAATATGTATTATATTGTGACCAAGTTTCTTGCTAATTTTGTGTTCAAAACATTTTTCAAATACTTTCCAAAAATGCATGATCAATGCAACTATAAAAATCACTTTAATAAAATGTGTTTCTTCTTTATTATTAGACTATTTTATATTCAGTTTGTGAAAAAATCAAGATGTTAAATACAATTGAAATGATTAAATTATTCGTTATTTAATATATTTTACATTTATTTTTTGCTTTGTAATGTTTAATAAAGTCATAATTTGTATATTGTTTTGATAATTGATAATTTCAAAGTAGCTTTTCAAAGCCTTTTAGTTTAGTATATGTTTGACATCATATTAAATATTAATTAATTACAAAAGCATTAACCACTAAAAATAATTGTAAATTATGCAGGAATTCAGACTGGCCATTAAAAAAGTCATTCTATTTACACATTGACATATATATGTTACAATTTATTATTAAAAATGATTACATAATTGAGACAACAGTGTCATCTAAATTTTTGCAAAAGAGAGTAATATGGGACACCACCTGTCAAAAAGTTTGGTTGACTGTAGCCACGCCCCTGTTAGGTGAAACATCCGGTTGAAGTCCCGTCCCTTTTTAATATAAAATTAATAATTCCGGTAATAAGATTCTTATCAGTTTAATTAAAATAATAATTCCGGTAATTAAATTATAATTCCGGTAGATTCTTATCAGTTTAATTTAGTTATTATTAATTACTGTAATTCGATTCTTATCAAACTATTTATGATATAATTCTGGTAATTGTAATCTTAAATTAAAATTAAATATTATAATATTATTCAATAGATTTTATAATCAAATAAAAAAGATATATAGACCATTATTAAAACCATATTTTAATTATTGTAATAAATTATATTATATTTTAATTATTGCAATAAACTATATTATAATTATATACACTAATATATCATATTATATTATATTACATTATATACTAATATATTATATTATATCATAATTAATACGCTATTAGTATCTCTCCTGTGATCTTGCCTGTGCTCTGGTATGAACATACTGACTCCATGTGTGTGTGCCATGTATGTGTGTGTGTGTTGGTAATTTGAAAGGCGGTTGAAGGCTGCTTGTTAAAGACAACATATTTCCTATATGTTGTTACAAAATATTTCCTATGTGGTGTTAGGAAATAAGGTAAAATTGTTGACCATTAGACAACAACCAGGCAGATGCTACAGAAATGATGACTTAATGTATGTCCTATTGCTAAATAATGTTGAGAAATTGCTGACACAACATACAACTGTCAGAATGTAACCCTATCGCTATGGAAAAAAAATAGGGCGACCACCTAATGAGAAGGGTTATGATGGCCCCTAGAAAAAGGATTACCAGAGTGAAACTGACAAATTTTCTTCACAAGAATAAACGATGCGTGAAAAATGATTACGATATGCCCAGTGAGCTCATTTGTCATTACTTATTTGACAAAAAGCTGCGCTCTGTTACCTTGTACATAACGGAATCTAGAGAACCGCACACTCTGGAGGACCCCTGTCTGGTCCTAACGGTTAAAGAAAAACGGTTTATTCTACAAACATCCCTGGCTAGATGTCTGTAATTCTAAACAGGAGCGGTTGTTTATCGCAGAGTGGGATTCTGAAAAACCAAACAATCGGTTTCGAGTGGTTGGAAACAACTGTGAAAAGAACCCTGAAGACTGAATTTACATATTCTTATGCGATGACAAGACAAAGCTTTGTGAGCGTTCCGGAATAATACATGCATGTATGCTAATACATACATGCATGAGCATAACGAATGATATGAAATGGTTCTTCCCATCCTCTGGAGAGACGCCGACAAGATGGATGACATTTTTGGATCCATAAACCAACTGTTCAAATGGTGTGATTTGAATGAACGATACAGAAATAATAAAGTTCTGTTGTTTCACCCCCAGAGGTCTGTGCGCCGCAGGAGGGATCATTCGCAACTGTCCTAGCCCATCTACTACACGCATAAAAAGCCCTAATCGGCGAGTGACCACCGTATTACTACAACATGTCTCAACAACTCTCTATAGAATTTGTCATCTTCAAGCCCAAGGATACCAATTCTGACGGCAAAGCCTTACCATGCTTTCCGAAATTTGGAACTTCAGCATTAGACCGAGACTTACCATGCTTTGAGATACTCAAATCTTCTGAACCGGACAACGATGAAAAAAACTGGCTGGATAAATTTTGCACCGAACTAGGATACTGTAACCTGACATACCTGACCAACAAGTACAAAAAAGATGATGATGCAAAGTTTGACGTCACAGATGGATGTTTCTGCACTTCAGGTTTCAAGATCATAAAAGCTCTGATCACGGAGCTCACGCAGCACATCATCGATGCTCAGCTGAAAAAGGAATGTGAGGGGTGTTTATCAACCACCCTAGCCAGCTGCAATACACATGCCTGTTTGAACCATCACCATTCTACTCCGACTCACACTTTGGAACACTCGTCAATAAATTGATCAAACCCGAGTTTCACACCGCTGTGTCGCAGGCTATGATGCATGTTGGCTTAAAGTCGCAGCCTCAGATGATCCACGGAACAGTCCTCGGCATTCTACATGAATTGAGGGGCGAACCATTCATCGTCGCAAGACTGGAAGACATCAGGACCAAGATTCTGGACGACTCCTGTGAGAAAATCGACAGCGACGATGTCGATTTCTGGCACCGCAGCGGCTAGACCTCGAATCGGCTGAAACTCCACAATGGGAAATACATGTAAACCTAGTAAGATACTTGAAATTTTTTTAAAAGAGTGCTACAAAAATCAGTTAAATGGTCATTTATGTAAAGTCATTAACGAATGACGAATGATGACCGATTATCTCGGTCCAGACGGGTGGCAAATTTCAAGAATGAAATGAAGATTGTGAGAACTCTGGATAATTCATGGGACATTATACTTAATGTTTGTGTTAACGGCACTGAACCAACCTGTTTTATGACTAGAAGAGTTCTAGATGCTGTGTCTGAATTATCTGATCAGAATGGAGTCGGTGATGTCCTGTGTATGACTACCTATGTGTTGGATGTATGTATATTGCTGATTGAAAAAAATGATGTTGATGACATATCTGAAATTGTTTAATCTTTGGTCACTTACATTCTAGATAAAAACATGTCATCTTGTGTACAATTTCTTTGCTACCTAGACAGTTAATAAAGTCGTTATGTAACCATTTTCTGATTTTATTTGATGTATGATTTCTTGCTTTAAATAAAAAAGGCTCGTACCAAAAATGTTTTGCATTATTTTTTAAGAGTCGGCAAAACAAAAAAAAATTCTGATATTATGAAGAAAGTTTATTATGATCCCTCAAACCCCAGCGCTTTAGGCGGTAAAAAACGCTTAAAAGATGCAGTGTTTAAGGAGAGTGGAGTCCGCCTAAGTGATAAACAGGTATCAGCCTGGTTGGCTGGGGAAGATGCTTACACTTTACATAAAACAGCACCAATAAAATACAAATGGAATAGAGTTGTGGTACATGGCGTTGATACCCAGTTTTAAGCAGGCCTCGTCGATATGTCAGCCTATTCTACGGAAAACAACGGTAATAAATTTATGCTGACTTGTATTGACGTATTCAGCAAGTATGCGTGAAGTCGGGTGTTGAAGAATAAGAGCGGAGTCGAAGTTACTAAAGCATTCGAGTCTATACTCGAGGAGGGTCGAATTCCGCGGAAGTTACAGACTGACCAGGGAAAGGAATATTTCAACAAACATTTTCAAGATCTTATGAAAAAACACGATATTGATCATTTCGCAACGGCTTCTGATTTAAAGGCCAGCGTTGTGGAACTTTTTAATAGAACTTTAAAATGTAGAATGTGGCGTTTTCTAATTGCTACTAATTCCTGGCGATACATCGATGTCTGACAAGACATTATGACAGGATACAACAACAGCTATCACAAGACTATTAAGATGAGGCCCGTCGATGTCTGCAAAGAAAATTAAGCTACGGTGTTTCAAAACTCTTACGGTAACATAAAGATTTAGAAACCAGTGTTCAAATACAACGTTGGTGACGTAGTTAAGATTTCTAAAGTAAGAGGTCCATTTGCCAAAGGTTATGAACAGAACTATACCGAAGAATTCTTCACCGTTTCTGAATGTATTCCGCGTCAACCAGTCCGAGTTTTTTTATAAGCAAGAGATACAGAAAAAATTTGTGAATAAAAACAAATCGTTCAAAGTGGAAAAGATTTTAGGTGAGAAAAAGCAAGGTCGGTTTACACTTGTTTTAGTAAAATGGTTAGGATGGCCCTCGAAATTTAATAGCTATAGACAAAAAAAGCTCTGATGGATTTGCAAAAACCTTAATTTACCAATTTCTTTTTCATGTTATTTATTATTGTACAATCTAGCTATGCATAACAACGGTTTCTGCGTTACGCTCCCGTGCAACGCTTCTTTATCTGTTTATCCTGAAAATCGTATATCTAGTTATACGACTAATTTAGCTAAAACTATACACCTGAAGGGGGAATGGGAAGTAGGTCTCGCTGAAATTGAATATCCTAGAAGTTGGTAGTTTAATTACCGGAATTATAATTTAATTACTGGAATTATTATTTTAATTAAACTGATAAGAATCAAATTAACGGAATTATTAATTTTATATTACAAAGCGGCGGGACTTAAACCGGATGTCCCGCCTAAAAGGGGCGTGGTTACAACCCATCAAACTTTTTGACAGGTGGTGTCCCATATTACTCTCTCTTCTGCAGGGTGTTGTTCATTTTAACATGTTAAATTTATAAATATGAGCATCCATACCTATTAGATCATGTTTTTTTATTTAATACTCCTTGTTTATTTTACTGGTTAGTGTGGGATTCTTGCAAAGATTTTATTTGCTGTCTAGCAAATGAGTCAGCCTGTCAGTTAGTCAGCATAGAACTTTCTGGAAACAAATAATTCATAAATCTTCTCTCTGTCATAGCTATTATGACATTGACTTGACTAAACGGCTGTTGTGCACAGTCATGCTTACCAATGCTGTAAATATCTAAACGGTCACTGGCAGACGTCCACTGTTATTTTTTATTTGTTCTATTGTCCTCATTAAGGTGGAGCCCTTCAGCAAACATGACTTGATAGAAACCTGGCCACTATACTGTATTGCAGAATCAACAGACTTTACACTGACTACTGCAAGAACAAAAAAACAGCCAATAGTTACTCTTTTGGGACGAAAATGATAGCATTTATTTGCTTTATTTATTTTTTAATGACATGTATCATAACAGTATTAATGGTCTGTATGCAAATCTTAAAGTAAATCATTCTGCACACGTAATCGCACTTGATTTATGTGCTTGTTGTCCTGCTGTTAAACTTCAATGATACTCTTTCCTCTTCTGCAGATTGTCACAATTATTTCTGAAAACATGCTGTGTGATTTGTGATTTGACAAAGTGGTGGACACATTATTAGGGCTGTTAAGACTAATATTGGAGGTTAAGTTCCAGACCGGTGTGATACGTGATCTACTGAGATAATAAAAACCTTGTAACCCTGGAGCAGAGGGATTAGTGCAGTTAACGCACGTCAATAAGCACAACAATACACACTGGGATATCTCACATGGGTTTAAAATAGATGATCAGTTCTGACAAAATATTAAACACTGTAGTCTATTTCAAGCATGTTATTTCATGAGAATGTTTTTATTTGGTTTAAAATTAATAAATCAGTGATTTCAGTTGTTAAATAAATGGATGAAGCAGTGTTTAGAATGAATTTCCTAAATTAATATTTAATCTTTTAAATAATTAATTAACTCAGATTTCACTCAGGCATCACCTCATTATTTGGCGAATCAACATTATTAAATGGATCTTTTGGATGAATCAATGACTCAAAAACATCAGTTGATTTCAGAATGAATCTTTTGACTAATGATTAAATGACACACATTAAGAAGTCAAATCACTGGATGAATCAGCATTTCTATATGAATGTTTTGAATTAATGATACAATGACTCTCTCATAAAGATGTCAATTCATTACTTGATGAATCAGCATTTCTTAACGAATATTTTGACTTAATGACTCTCATAAATGTCAATTCATTATGGGATGAATCAGCATTTCTAAATGAATCTTTTCAATGAATGATTTAATAACTCGCTCATAAAGGCACAACTTTTGTTTTTGAATGACTCTTGAATTAATGTTTAAAATGACACCCATAATGAATAGAATCAATTCATTAGTCGATAATCCGACATATCATGAACAAATCTTTTGAATAATGATTACTGGATGAATCAGGATTTCTGATAGACTCTTGAATTAATGATTGAATGACACCCATATTGAATGATGTAAATTCATTAGTGGATGATCCGACATATCTGAACAAATCTTTTGAATAATGATTAAGTGACTTGCAAATTAAGATGTCAAATCTTTATGAATCGGCATTTTTGAATGAATCTTTTGAATTAGCATTACAACGACTCTCATAAAGATGTTAACTCATTAATGAATAAATCAGCATTTCTAAATGAATCTTTTTAATAGAAGATTCATCTGCTCGCTCATAAAGGCACAAGTTTCCTAATTACTGGACGAATCAGCATTTCTAAATGAGTCTTTAGAGTTAATGATTGAATGACACCCATTAATGAATGATGTCAATTCATTACTCAATGAATCATAATTTCCTAACCAATCTTTTGAATAATGACTTAATGAATCACACATAAAGATGTCAATTTATTACTAAATAAAGCAGCATTTCTAAAAACCTTTGAATTAATGATTGAATTACACCCATAATGAATTATGTAAATGTATTAGTGTATGAATATAAATTTCTGAACGAATCATTTGAATAATTTCTAAATGATTTAAACATTAAGAAGTCAAATCATTACTGGATGAATCAGAATATCTGAATGAATCTTTTGAACGAATAATACAATTCTCTTATAAAAATGTCAATTCATTACACGATGAATCAGCATTTCTGAATGAATTTTTTCAATGAAAGATTCATCAACTCGCTTATAAAGGCACAACTTCCCTAATTACTGGATGAATCAGCATTTCTAAAAAGAATCTTTTGAATTAATGATTCACTGATACCCATAATGAATTATGTCAAATCATTAGTGGATGAATCAACATTTCTGAACAAATCTTTTGAATACTGATTAAATGACTCACAAATTAAGATGTCAAATCATTACTGGATAAAACAGCATTTCTGAATGTGGCTTTTCAAATCAACAATTGAATGACACCCACAATTAAATCAATTTAGTACTGTATGAATCAGCATTTCTAAATGAATCTTTTGAATGAATAACTCAGTAACTCACTTATAAAGACACCACTTGCTAAATAACTGGAACGATCAGCACTTCTGAATGAACGATTCAATGAGTCACTTATAAAGACAACAATTCATTATTTGATGAATGAGTGCTTTTTTTAATGATCATCTTGAATAAATTGTTAAATGATTCACTCATACAGACTTCATTTGCTTTATTCCTAGAAATAGAAAAATAAAGGTGTTTAACAAAAACATCTGAATGATTCAAAGACAAATACAGTTCAATCACACGTTGTGAGCAATTGCCAAAACGTCGTAAACAATACAATCTTTATTTCAAGTAACATAAAAAAAAAGATTTACTGTTAGGAACACAACCATAGATATGTAAACCCATAAACCTTTAGTACCACAGAAATAAAGATCAACACAACAACTGCTCTGTCTGTGTCAAAAGCTGAATCTGAATGCTGTCCACTCTTTAATCATGTCAAAGTGTAATAGACATAGGTGAATCAATGTTATTTAAAGAATAAAGTTCAGTTCAGATTTTGAACTGAACTTACTAGATTCACATCTGCTTTTTAAGAATAAAGTGTAGATTTACACACCACCAAAAACCTGTCACATGAAGGATGAATAAACAGTTAAGAAATTCTCTTTTCAGATTAATTGTGATCAGATTATAAAAGAATGTATTTCATGGCAAACATCTGTTTAAACAGCTTAACAGACAATAAAGGCATCATTTACCAGACAAGATTTATTTATTTATAAACCGTAATCATAATTTGGGCTTCCCTCCATGTAGGACTTGTAGAAGACCATGTAGGTTTCTGTGCTAAACATCGTAGCTTTAACAGTGGGATCCTCCATCATGCGCTCGGTCCACTTCTTCAGCTCAGGTGTGCCGTCCAAGCAGCTGAAAATGATGAGGACACATTGCAGATTGGGATTTAATGATTTTTATACTTCACTAACAGGATTTTTATTTAGTTTAAAATCTCAAATTAAAATCTTATAAATTTCAAAATTCTATATTATTTATTTCACAAAACAATTCTACAGACAAAAACACTAACATAGCCTTTGAACTAAACCCAACACAAGCTCACAGCAATTTGTAACTTTTTGATTTTGTGGCTGATTTGTATAAACTTGTACAATCTCATGCGTACAATTTAGTATGGTTTGCTTATTCCCCAATGACAGATGGGTTTATTTTAATATAAAATGTTAAAAATCTCAAAATTCTTTATTAATTATTAAGTCTATTAATAAAAACACCAACATAGACTTTAAACCAAACCACAATTTATAGTCTCCAGGGTGTAAAAACAAATATTTTTTATGAAACAACCCATGAAACTCTTTCTATTATAAATAAAAAACATCAGAGCAAAATCAAAAATAAAGCATATTTAATATTAAATCTTAAAAATCTTAAGATTCTATATTAACTATTTTGCAAAACAAGTCTACAGAAAAAAACGCTAACATAAACTTTAAACCAAACCATAATTTATAGTTTTTAGGGCCTAAATTTAACATTGTTTTATGAAACAACCAATGAAATTATTTAAATTGTTAAAAATCTGAAATAAATGATATTTTGTATTATTGGCAATTATAAACACTATAATAATAATTTTATTATCATAAAGAACAGTAAAATGATAATTACGCCTGTTTTTTTTGTTTTGTTTTTTGCTTTAGGAGGATTAAACCACACAGCTTTTATTTTGGCAGAAAACCAGAAAAAAACTTCTCTTTTGAAATGTGTCTACTTTGCTGACAACAACTTTATAACCTAAACACTGGCCATTCCACATGCTCAACAGCCAACTGTTCATTCTCTTTGGTTTATTTTACGCCTCAATTTTTTATTCAATTTCTCTTTTACTTGTGCATTAAATAAATGTGAATTAGTAATAATAATAATAACAATAATAATAACAATAATAAAGAAATAACATACTGCTTCAGATTCATCGTCTCCAGCCTCTCAAACCATGGCCACATCATGTAGTCAATCATTGTTATTGAATCCCCTCCAAAAAACTTGCTCTTCTTCTTGAGGAGGATCTGACAAACGCATTAAGCAGAGAAAGCACACATTTAAAGAAGTGAAACTGAACTCAATCGAAATGCCCATCATGACATTAATTAGAAACCTTTATTCCACTCATGTATGGCATTACTGCTATGTCAGCTAACCTCATTGAACTGAGAGAGTTTGTCTTTAAGTTCTGTTTCAAGTGCAGACACATCCTCTCCTTTCGTCCTATTCACGGGGATCTTATAGAAGTAGGGAGTCACCTAAAAAACACATTTGATGATATTTATTAAAGCATTCATACAAGCTAAATCATGACTCAATACAGTATTGCAGATACACTTCAAGATTTTTCTATTCATTTTCTTTAAACTGGAACACAACATGTATCATTTACAGCACAGGTTTAGTTCCAACCCTGATTAAACACACCTGATTAAACTAATTAAGTCCTTTAAGTTTGTTTGAAACCTACAGGCAAGTATGTTGGAGTTGGGTCGAAACTAAACTGTGCAGGGCTGCGACCCTCCAGGAACTTAGTTTGACAGCCCTTATTTTCAGTAGCTTATCGTTAAACTTTTTAAAGTGACATTTTCCAACATTTTGTGCTTTAACTAAAGAAGCTACCTACATGGCATGTCTAAACCCAAACTTTATGTATTTTTAGCAAATTAAAGTTTTAGAAAAACTATAGTCATATTTTTAAAAGTGAATGAGAGACTCAGTGAAATGTCACAATCACAGAGTTGACGAATACTTAATCAACCACTGGTTTATTCTAAACATGTTGTACAAAATAATGAGAGAACAATAATGACATGCCTTATTGTCTTCCAGAGATCCCTGGCAAAGTGAGTGACATCGCTTGGAAAAGTCACATACATTTTCAATCAGTTTTACGTTTAAGGGATACAACTGAGTTTGGAAGTTAATGAGATTTTTTTTTTTTAAAGATTTATTTTTGGCTTTTCTGCCTTTATTAGATAGGACAGTATTGAGACAGGAAGCAAAGTGCGAGAGAGATAGAGAGGGGGTAGGGTAGGGAAAAGTCGTCGAGCCGGGATTGGAACTCGCGACGCCCTGACGTGCTATTGCACTATTTGTCAGCGCTAACCACTAGGCTATTGTGCCGATGTTAATGAGAATTATTATTTATATTATTTATTAAATTACCCAAAAATTGTACTTTATTAACATCTATCCTTACCCAAACCCTCACAATGACATAAACAATAATTAAACTGAGTATTATTTATATTATTTATTAAATTACCCATTAAATTGTATTTTATTAACAGCTACCCCAACCCTTACAGTAATATAAAAACAGTAATTATACCGATAATTATTCATATTATTTATTAAATTACAGAATAAATTGTATTTTATTAATGTCGACCCTTCCCAGTACTAAGGGCATCTGGTGCATAAAACATATGCTGGATAAGTTTGGGGTTCATTCCGCTGTGGTGACCCCTTATGAATAAAGGGACTAAGCCGAAGGAAAATGAATGAATGAATAAATAATGTCTACCCCAACCCCAACCCTCTCAGTACTGTAGAAACAGTAATTAAACTGAGTATTATTCATATTATTTATTAAATTACCCATTAAATTGTATTTTATTTCCAGCTACCCCAACCCTTACAGTAATATAAAAACAGTAATTAAACTGAGTATTGTTCAAATCATTTATTGAATTACCTATAATAAATTGTATTTTATTAACATCTACCCCTACCATCACAGTAATATAAAACAGTAATTACACTGAGAATTATTCATATTATTTACTAAATTATCCATTAATTTGTATTTTATTACCGTCAACCCCAACCTTTACAGTATTGTAAAAACAGTAATTAAACCGATTATTATTCATATTATTTATTAAATTACAGATTAAATTGTAATTTATTATTGTCACCCCAACCCTAAACTCAACCCTCATAGTAATGTGAACACAGTAACTGTTGTTGTACGGTAATTGTATTATTGTAACAATTGAAATAATTCTAGTTAACTTCTGACCAAAGTTGTCTCCCGTCAAGACTTTACCATGTTTTATAGATTGTTATGCCTTTTACAACCCATGTAACAGAGTAGACCAAAATGTACGGACAGAAACAAACATTTTCATCATTACTAACATTTCAAACACAGAAAATAGATGTTTCTTGCATATGTTTATTTAACTTATTTAAAAAAAGATTAAATGTTTATGATAACTGAAACTGAATGTTAGATTAAAGAGGCTGTTTTAGTTTTGGAAAATGAATAGAAAGTTTATCTAGAGCCCTAGCATGCCCAAACTTTTCTCCTGCAGAGTTCCAACTCCAAGTGGACACTTAATTTAGCTAATCAGGCTTTTACTAGGGGTGCTTCTCAATTCTTATATGTGCATTCTCGCTTCCTTTCCTCGTGTCTTAGCTCTACCCCTTCAGGATGCTAAAAACTTCAGCAAAGGATCCACCAGTGTATCCTCACTCATGCCTCCTCAGGAAGCCTCCTCTCTCCTCCATCCTCGCGGTGCAATTAGAAAATTGAGATATCCTACAACACGGCTGAGCGATTTTCAGGTCGTATGATGGAGGACAGAAGAGTGAGGAAACGAGGAAGGATATTAAGAAGCATTATTTATATACTAAAAACTTCCTTGCAGGTATGTTGAAGCAATTTGGAGCTAAACTCTGCAGGACAACGGCCCTCCAGGACCGAGTTTGGGCGGATCAAATTGGTAATCTCTAGAAATCAGCCATATGTAATATCTGTGTGAAAATGGATTGGGAAAGACCTTTGAGAAAAGCTCCAGCAGCATTCTCTGTTGCGCCCTCTCAAACGGGTCAAACGGGAGCAGCTTCTTCTCAGGATAGACCTCGTCCAGGTACTCACAGGTGATTGGAGATTCGTAGATCACCTGACCACTCTGAGTCTCCAGCACTGGCACTAAACCAAGGGGATTCTTCTCCAGAAACCAGTCAGGTTTGTTCTTCAAATTGATGTTGATGGTGTCGTATCTATAGCAACATACACAATTTTCATAGAGGGCTTTCACTCCAAACATAGTCTTAATTATTTATTAATTTATCTCATGCACACCTTTAGCACAACAACAACAATTAAAAAACACTACTGTACACACTGAGTTAGTGTTTGTACTCACTTTATTCCCTTGGCATTGAGCACCAATCTGGTTCTTTGGGCAAACGGGCAGAATCTCATGCTGTAGAGCCGAATATGGTCCTTTGGCACTGGACCAGGAGCAGGACTTCCTGTGGCACAGTTTAAACAAAAAAACTAGTCAGACTTGATCTACCAATTTCTGTGAAGACAATGATCATGGCATTATGAGTTACTGTCAACAGGAGTAGTTCTCAAACTGTAGTACATGTATCACAAGTGGTACGCAGGCTTCCTTCTAGTGGTATGCGGAGGAATGGCTGAATAAATCAAGTAAAAAAATTTGCACACTTTTAACCCTTTGATGCGTACAATAACAACGATGTGATCAGGAAATTGATTTTAATCGGCTAAACTTTTTATTTTACTTTCATTTTTCTAATGTTTGTTATGTATTTTATTATTTGAGGTTATTTTCCTCCCCATACTTGTAACGGTTGTTGGGGGAGTATCACATATTTTTTATATCCCAATGTTGACAGGTACAGTTTAATCACTTGCTTCTCTGACACACATAGCCTACTCTAACGAGCAGTAAGCAGATCTTTGGATTGTAAATCCAATTCATATATTTAAAATACAAGTTAAAGTTTAGATTTTAAAGATATACAAATAAGTCATATATACATGCAACATATATTTCAAAATTTATGAAAATAAAAATTTATTTATTGAATAAATTGTATATTTTAATAATTTTGACCCTTCCCAGTGCTGAAATGCAGCTGGAAGGGCATGCGCTGTGTAAGACGTGTGCTGAATAAGTTGACAGTTCATTCCACTGTGGCGACCCAAGATTAATAAAGGGACTAAGCCAAAAAGAAAATGAATTAATGAATGGATGTATGATTGTATATATTACACTAATTGAATGAAGTTATGTACTAGATGAATATAAAATATTAAGAGACGTAAATTAGTAAATGAAAAAAAAGAAGATAAGACCTTGATAAAAGTGTACTTCAATGTCTGTCTTTCTACCGTACTTTGGGATGTATTTAATTAGATTTTTTCGTCGTACATTTCTACCATGATTTACAGAAGTCACACACTAAAATACAATTTAATGTGATAATAGCTTATACCCCAAGATATCTGGTCAGGATTTATTTAGATTAGAGATGCCCAAACTGGGGCCTGCGGGCCAAAGTTGGCCCATGGTAACCTTTGATCTGGCTCGCCATCCCATCGCCAATCCCGAGATTGTCAGTTCAAATTTAATGTAACTCTTTGTTTTGTTGTTTCAATAAAATGGTGTAAATGAATCAGAGGTTGTTTAAATGTATATACTGTCACCCAACAATGCAAAGACTTTGGTGAGCAAACCAAGTCAAAGGCAGATTCTGCTTGACTTGTGTATTCAGCATTGAACTTCACTGTGTTTGGTACATTTACCTTCAGCCCAAAGCTCTCAATGATATTAGGTTTTTGGCCCTTCATATGAAAAAGTTTGGGCACCCCGGATTTAGATCAAGAATTATTTAGATGACATAATAAAAGACTTTGTTTCAAGAAGCACCGTGCAGCCCAGTTAAAAATAAATTCTTGTCATCTTGAATTCAAATGAATTTAAAATGAATTGTCATTTGAATTCTTGTCATTTTGCTTTTTTTATTAGGCAAGAAGACTTCAGTCTTTTAAACTATCACAACAAATCATAATAAATTCAGGTCAGAATAAGAAAGTTTCATGTTTACAAATGTATTTGTTATGCTGAACTGAATTTCTTTACAAAACATTTGAAATAAAGTAGTCTCTATGTACAGTTGATGTCAGAATTATTAGCCCCCTTATGAAATTATTTTTCTTTTTGAAATATTTCTCAAATGATGTTTAACAGAGCAAGTCAATTTTCACAGTAAGTCTGATAATATGTTTTTCTTCTGGAGAAAGCCTTATTAGTTTTATTAATTATTATTATTAATTTTAATAAAGTTTTATTATTAACTTAGTATTTCGTTTTCATTTTTTTGAAAACCATTTTAAGGTCAATACTATTAGCCCCTTTAAGCTATATTTCTTTTCAATAGTCCACAGAACAAACCATCGTTATACAATAACTTGCCTAATTACCCTAACCTGCCTAGTTAACCTAATTAACCCAATTAAGCCTTTAAATGTCACTTTAAGCTGCATAGAAGTGTCTTGAAAAAACATCTAGTCAAATATTATTTAATGTCATCATGGCAAAGATAAAATAAATTAGTTATTAAAAAATGAATCATTAAAACTATTATGTTTAGAAATTTGTTGAAAAAAAATCTCTCTTTTAAACCAAAATTGGGGGAAAAAATTAACAGGGGGGGGTTATAATTCAGAGGGGCTAATAATTCTAATTGCAAATGTATTTAAAATGACTTCTGTAAACATTTTATTTGACCCAGACACCAAAATAGTGTCTCTGGCTCATATTACTGTATATTATCTGTCATTATTTATCTCATGTTATTACACAGTTACAAAAACTAGTATACAGTATTATGTAAAAATAGAGTGTCTTGTAAGTTAACTCTTAAGTTGAGGTTGACTGTGATATGATTATATGATATAATAATTTTCTCATCATTTACTCACAATAGACCTGTATAAACTTTTAAGAAATTCTTTCAAATTAATTTATGTTTGAAACAAAAAATCATAATGACAATCATGAGAAATGTTGAAAAAAACATTCATAGTAGAAAAGAAATATTATAGAAGTCAATAGCTGTTTTCTGACATTCTTCAGTATATCTTCCCTTGTGTTCAACAGAAAAAACAAATTCCACTGAAATTTCAGAAATCAACGATGCAACTTGTTACAGATTCCTAGAAAACTGCAGTCCTCACTGTCATGAAAATCACTGAAAATATGAAGTGATTTTATGATTTCATAAGAGTGCAGTGTCATGCTGTGGTCATAAATGTTATGTCACATGGAGGTGTCAAGCTAACACGGAGGTGTACAATGAAAACAACTGGAACCGTTTCTTAACATAACATGATACACAAATCTGGACATGCGTAAAGAGGTTGGACTACATTTTTGAAGGATGTTATGTAAACAGTGTATTGTAATCACAACACAATTATTCTTAGTCGCGGAACCCGCAGTAAACTCAGGACAGACACACACACACACTAAAATGCATTCATAATCTAAATTAAGAAATTTCTTACCTTTCCCAAGACATTTCTGAGATGCAGCCATTATTTTATTCAGAGAAACCAAAAGAACTGCAATGGTTGAGAAGCTAAAGTTAAATACTGCAGGTACACTTGATTAATTTGACTGCATTTCTTAATTATTTAAATATCTTAGCATTTCATGTAACAATGGTTTTGCAGCATTTTTTAATAATTATGTAACAATAATTCTGTCATTTAAAATATCATACATTAACTTCAACTTTAAGCAGTAGTTAACTGAACACTTACCTGTCTAAATCAATGACTGTGCCACAAATTTCGAAGATGAAAGGGAAGTTGGTGTATTTATTGGTGATTTATAGCCATAGAGGGCATGTCTTATGATCTAATGACGAAACATCAGACGCTTCTTTATTTCAAAATAAAAGTCGTCTATGAAAAGATGAGCGCAGTCTGGAAAATGATTTTTAATCAACCGAACATCCTTAATTTCTTATAATGAAAAAATAATGATAATAATAATAATATGATCACGAATCGGGCGACAAGGCGGCTCAGTGGTTAGCAAGCAGGTCGCTGGTGCGATCCCAGCTGGGTCAGTTAACACCTCTGTGTGGAGTTTGCATGTTCTCCACGTGGGTTTTTCTCCAGATGCTCCGGTTTCTTCCACAGTCCAAAGACATGCGGTAAAGGTGAATTGAATAAACTAAATTGGCCATTGTGTGTAGTGTGTAATAGATTGTGTATGGATGTTTCGCAGTGCTGGGTTGCAGAATTTAATGAATGAATTATGAATCTGTTCTGAAACGTTATATTTAAAATGAAAACCGCATTTGACAGTGCAAAGTGCATTCAAATTCAGTAATTGTAAAATATATGCATATTGACGTGTTTTGTTTTTTGCAGGATTTATACAGTATACATCATAAGACAAATCATTCTATTTAAACACTCCTCATGGAAACACTGACATCTGTCTCAGCAAATGAATAATATAGTGTGTGATATAGGTAATCTATTTATCCCCAAGTATTAATATGTCTTATTAAAAGATATGGATCTTTATATAGACTATTTATGAAATACAACAAGTTTTTTTCAATTTTTGCAATGAATTACTGGAAAAGCATTCCATCCGACTGCTGCAATCAGAAGAAAACCTCTTCACAAGAGACAAAGTAATGGATATCAGTTTATTTGTCATGTACAGTAAACACGATAAAACCAAAGTGTTTTTAATAAGATGCTTTTAACCCATGTCTGAAATATCATCCAATAATAATCCAACAAAAACAAAATAATGATATTATGCAAAACATTGTACAACAGTTTTTGTTTGTGTGACACTAATCATCCTCGGGAAAAAAAAAACATGTCTGAAAATGTGATTTAAATAGGGAGTAAGATGGACGAAATTAATTTATTATAATTTGCCCACTGATGAATATCCACATTCAATAACCACCATAATAACCTGATAATAAGATGTCTGCTGTCGTCAATACTAAACTGATCTGAACACGTCTGATAAAACATTCTCCTAAAACTCATTCTCATAGTTGAAGAGTTAATGAATTAATCAACTTAATGATTATTCTGCTTTTCATTTAGACCAATTTAATCCTTTTTTAAAACTTAGGCCTTTAGTAACATTTCAAAATGGCAGTTGAACATGACCAATTTCACTGTTAGTCCTGACACCTTTCCGAACATTCACAGTGAGCCTTTAAAGTGCAGATGCTGAACCACCATATTAAAAAAAACAACAACCCATCACTTAAAATCAAAGTACAATCAGCCCATACAGAGAACGATGGAGTACGTAAATAAATACATTTCTGGAATTACACTGCCTGAATTTAGCTTACATGTTTTTTTTTTTAAGTCAATTAAAAATGCATCCCCCAAAATATATAAGGTTGCTACAAGACTGTACAATCTCATTTGAACTGAATGCAGACACCGACAAAGTTACTTAATGTTGAACGAATCATATGAGTTAACACAACCCCAATCCAGCGGTGATGAATAAATGCATTTAAAAGAGTTACTTCCTGTCACGTGACTCTACAAACGCGGTGATTTAGCAACCAGGGATTCGTATTTTGTCCAGCTCCAGTCCTGAGCCTGTATGAAGGAGAGAAAATATGTGATGTCATGAATTTCTATGCATTTCACAATACACAAGAAGTCTGCTTTTAAATAAAAGCCCCTTACCATTATGCTCTCCGATTTCTCCTCGGTGGTTTCTTGCAGTAAACTGGTGAGCTGAGTCAAGTAACGCTGATTCTCCTCCAGTAAATGATTAACTGAATCACTGGAAATAAACATTCAGCATCAAACATATTGATAAACACAGCCATGGTGCTTTAAAACCAAGGAAGTCATGCTAAAATTACAATAGTAGAGCTAAACAATATTTCATTTCATCAACATCTTAAGGCTCTATTTTGACGGTCCATGCGCAGAGCGCAAAACGCAGGGCGCAAACGCTTTCAGGGAGTGTCAGAACGCGTTTTTGCTAATTTAAGGACGAGAAAATCCACTTTGCGCAGTGGCGCATGGTCTAAAAGGGTTGAGTTTATTTTCTTAATGAGTTATAGGTGTGTTTTGAGAATAAACCAATTAGAGTCTCATCTCCCATTACCTTTAAGAGTCAGCTGCGTCGCGCCAAGAGCGCATTCGCTATTTACAGGACGCAAAGTAAGTTTAAGTGGAAAAAAATGAGCATTTCACAAGCAAACACTTAACAGTTGACAGTTTTTTAACAGAAAACTGTTAAACAGAGCATCTACTGCGTGAGAATGAGAGATAATGGATCTACTTTCACATTCTCTCTTGGATAGGGAAACCTTTACGCACAGACATCAATTAGTCTATAAATAATTAATTTTGTTTGTTAAGCGCAAATATTCGTTTCAAAACTATTTCTAAATTCAGTTCTAATTTCCAGCAAACGAATAAATGAACAATAATAACAAAATGTGCTCAAAAACCTGAGTTATATCCTAAAACACATGCTGTGCCTCATATGGTCTTAAACCTGACAGGTGGGCAAATCTAAGCTTGTTTTTAATAAAACAAATATAAATATGGATATATTAAATAATACTGCTAATAATAATACCATTATACAAAAGCAAATTGTTATGAATGAACTGAAAAAGCCTCCCGAGATGAAGAAGACATAAAAGCAGTGGTTTTTCATATGTATGTAGGCTAGAAAATAATATGTTTCGTAATATTTTAATCCTTTATATTTATATCTATTCTTATTATATCCTATATATATCCTTAATATTTAAATTTTTTCATATGTAAAGATATTTGCCTATTGCTCTCTTGTGCGTATTAAGCCGTGTGTAAGCGAGGCACAACTCTGCGCCGGAGTTTAGACCGAATTAGTTTTGGTCTAATGAAAAATCTATTATAGTTTCTTAAAATAGCAACGCGCCAGCAGTGCGCCTTCCTTTTTAGACCAGAACGCTTATGGGCGCACAAATGAGCGCTAATGCATTTGCTATTTAAACAGCGTAGCGCAACGCCTCAAAACGACTCTTGCGCCAAGCTGAAACTACCAAAAGACTACTGCACCCCGCCTTGCGCCACATTGCGCCGGGTGTATGCTTAATGTGCGTAACTACAATAATCACATCGCAATGTTGAAATCATATGCTGGGATTTTAGTTGACTAAGAGCCACAGTTTAAAACCTGTGGGCTTTCACTGCAGAGTTCAACTAATGGAGTGAAGGTTTATCCTTTGCATGTGTTTTTTTAAGGCTGTGACTGTGTAAGCATTCAGGCCCAAGAGAGTTTAAAGCAGGAGTCTCAAACTTTACCATTTAAGTACAAGAATAAAGTGGAAACCTGATGTGATTGATGCATCTTAGGACAACAGTTAGACATTTATAATTCAAGCATTACCCGTCACCGGTGATGATGCCTTCACATATTGCAATGTATATTTTTCTGTATGTATATTTCGTGTTGTGGCCGACGTGTGTTCAGGGATGGAGCATGCATAGAGGCGACCTAGGCGGCCGCCTTGGGCAGCAGAATAGTGAGCGAACCCCCCAGTCCTCACTTTAATCTGCTACACCCACCCCCTCCCTCACGGTCCTTGTGTACATCTGCGAAACGGCCACTTTCTTTTTCACTTTCGGGTTGAGGGTGGCGTGATTGCCGCTTGCCTTGAGCGCAAGCTCAACTTGCTCTGGCCCTGCGTGTGTTTATCATGCAAAGAAATTTGGATAAGACCAAGTTTCAGTTAAAACAATTAATGTCGCATCACCAGGCTATCCAGCATTTCCTCCAGAGTTTCATGCAATTTCGGGTGTTTCATTTTTAATCTTTAGACTTTAACTGCAGTTCAGCAGTTCACTTTCATTCAGCATATTTTCATTCAGGATGTTTAAATGGAATTTGATACTGCATGGCGAACGAAAAGAAAAGCCTCTGCATTCCGTGACTTGCATGATCCTTTAAGGCAGGGGTGGCCAACCCTGTTCCTGGAGAGCCACCTTCCTGCAGATTTCAGTTGCTACCCATATCAAACACACCTGAACCAATTAATTTGGACCTGAATACCATGTGATAATTACAGGCAGGTGTGTTTGACATGGGTTGCAATCTCCAGGAACAGGGTTGGCCACCCCTGCTTTAAGGTAATCAAAAATCGCTGCTTACATGGTAGACTCTTAATCAGTATTATCTTAAAAAGCGGAGTATTGGGGTCCATGTAAATGTATATCAAGTGAAAGTGGCAGATAAAGTCGCAAACTGTCAAAGACAGCCCTATTCTCTGGCTTCAAGCTGTTTCCATGAGCCCTCACATTTCATAAGTGTGACGTGTTCCCCTCTACACGCAACTTTTGTAAAGCGTCTTCATGTTGCTGTGTCAGAATCCTTGCATGTAAAAGACAGCCATACTTTAGAATGCTTAGTTAAAGCAAATGTGATGAACGCGATTGTGCGTGTTGATGAATCTGAAGGGATTCCTCGCTCACCGTGTGCGCTGCTCTGTGCGTGTGTGTATGTAGTCCACTTAAAATCCAACAAGGAAATCATTTTTGTTTGTTATTTGCAGTGATTGTTTTGAAATTCATAAGGCACTAACATGCCTGTGTTTTTATTTCTGTAATAAATATGGCGTTTCGTGATTAATCATGATTAATTACAAAAAAAGCGTGATTAATTACGTCATTGTTTTAACAATTTGATCATTCTATATTATAATATATATAATTCATAAAAAAGAAGGTCTGGAAGAAAAACATACCCCTCGTGTGGCACTTGCAAGGACATGGGGAGACGGGAGGAACACTGGGCTTGAGTCTGGTTCCACGTAGACAGCGAGGAGGGCATTTCTCCGCTCTGACTCACTGAGCTCCGTGTGGTGTTTTGTGCCTGAATACAAACCAGTTACATTTGTTGATTATGTAAAGAACATAAACATGTATAGCTGTGGATATAGTGGTTATTTGACAACTGCTTTGTATTTAAATTGTTCTTCCTATTAGAATTTAAAAGTCAACATATGGTATTTTATAAAAGTAGTTTGAGTTGTTTACATTTTTAATGGTAATAAATAAATACATGTAAAGCTACTGTTTGCATACAGTGATACAAGAATTTAGCACAGCATAAGCGTAATGCATGTAATCTATGCACAGTTCACATGCACTTTTAATTGTTTTTGCAGTACTTAGTTTGTCCACTAGGTGTCAACATTGAACTGGATTGTTGTTTTGTAGTCTGAAAAGAAACTGAGACAGAAAAACAAACAAAAGATGACCTAAAAGATAGTTTAAAAGAATACTTGCATCTCTTCTTTAAATTTGTATAAAATGGTCAATCACATTGTGTGGAAAAATGGAGTATTCATTAACAGGCTGTGAGGGTATACTATCTCAGTAGTAGAGTTTGTTACAACTCATCTTCCATCAATGAAAAGTTTGGGTTTAGAAAGATTTGCAGAAATGGCTGAAAGAAGTCTCCTATACTCTAGTGTTATTTTAAAATATGCTCAATTTCTTTACTGGTAAAGCTGAATTTTCAGCATCAGTACTCAAATCTTCAGTGTTACACAATGGTTAGAGTTAGAAAAAGGCTTAGGTTTAGCTGCATGCGATTATGTCAAAAACTATGGTAATTACAACTTTAAGTATGTGTAACGGGTAACAATTCTAATATACTCATTTGAAGCTTTATTGATCAATGTTGAAAATGGTTGTGCTGCATAATATTTATGGAAACCATGTATATTTTTAGGATTCTCTAATGAGGTTTAAAACAACAGAATTTTATTATCTATACAGGGCAGCCACAGCTTGTGTGTTTAATAGTTCAAAATAGCTTAATATTCCACTCTGTGGATATTCTGCTCATGTAGTCATACTTATTTTCTATACACATTAAATTCTATTAAAAAAAACCCAGAAACTTAACGCATTACTTCAGGATAAAACTATCCACTTGTTTAGTGTGGTTTGACATCATGAGAAGCAGCTTCTGGATTCAATCGCCATATCACACTGTATAGGGAGGCTCATCAATAATAAACGTTTACAAAGTAATACATTACTTGCGAAAATCATGATTGCAATATATATATCCATGCCTAATATCCGATGGCCAGAAAGTGATTAGTTTTGTGTACTCTTGAGTACACCATGATTTTATATAAAATTCCCTTTAATGTGATATGACTAAAAAGTGATCATAAATGAATACTTTCTCAATTCAAATGAGTAGCAGAGTCGTCCACACAAATGTACCCATTTCATACTCTCCTTTCAGAAAATATTAAACATTTGCCCAGCCTTTCTGGGTACATGCTATCTGCACTGCAAGTCAATTACAAGCACATGTTGACAATTTTACAATCAAAGATGTCACTTCACTATGCCTGTTTAGTCTGGTTGTTCTGCTTGTCAAAGAAATTGGCGCGCTGTGACGAGGTGCAAAATTTTGGCATTATGATTGGCCAGATCACCTGTCAATCAAACTGCCTGCAAAGGGTCAATTGCATAACCGTTACAGACCAATGTTATCTAAAAAGTGTTAATATTAATATCTTTATCTTTCACCCTACTGTTCTTTATAGCTTGGTGCCATATTGCCGCTTACTAATAAGTAGGTTACTGTGGGCTATATTCAGCCGTTTTTATGTCAGCTGGGTCTACTTGTTTAGTTTTGAGGAAAGAAGCTGTGTAATGAACAGAATAATGTATATCTAGCCGGTTCATTTTGCAGAATATGCCTCAGGTTTTATTTAGTGAGAACAATGACCAAGACATACAATATTCCTTACTAAAAATCACACCTAACTTTTAAATGGTGTAGTTTTTTGTTTTACTCATTTTGTAATATAAGATTTCGGTCTGACCACTAATGTGCATATAACCCTACCCCTGGAAAGTCCGGGATCATGTGGCTCATGTGCAAATTAAAAGCATATCTGTCCTTCAGACATTAAAAGCATGTGACTCACACAGGCAATCTTCAGTAAGTGCCAGAACTCTCTCTGTCTCTTGATCTGCATCTGCATGACTGTGGTGTCTGCCTCCTTTATGCATTCCAGCGTTCTCTCGATTTTAGGGAAGAGGTCGATGATCTTCTGCTTACTCAGAAGGATTTTACTGCAAAGGCCAAATTTGAAAAGTAAAATACCTTAACTGTATAATCCATTTGAACATAAATGAGTGGCATTAAAAGTTTTTTACCTGAGGTGTGCATATAGATCTCTTAGCACCCGGTCTTGATTCTGGACAGTCTGTACTATGACCTTCACCATCTCAGAGCTGTCGCTGTAGCCATGCTGAGGGTCTGGCACTAGAGGAAATGAAGAACATACATTATACACTGACCCTCTTGACTTACTAATGCAACCAATGATGATGCATTACTTTCTTTCGAGTATTTGACTACTTGGAAAAGGACACAGAGGGATTGTCATTGACTTGAAAAGTAAATATGCAAACAGAATTGTACTCACTTTTGCATTTTGCCTTCAACTGTTTGTAGAGTTCAATGGCTTTCTCTTGCCTGTGATGAAAACAAGATTTTATGTCAAAATAAATGCTGATAAACTTCACAAAGCTTATTTCTGAACAAAGGTTCTCACAACTGCTCCATGACATCTCCTTGACGACGAGCATAAGGACTTCTCTGTAACTCAACGATTTCCGAATGCAACGCCATTATTTCCTCATCCAGATGACCAATCTCTGCCACCTTCAGAAGATAAAAAAGTTGTTTTAGTTGTAGTTAAAACAAATGTAAACCCACATACAAATACATTTGCACAACAGATATGCTGGTCAAAAAGATTTTTTTTTTTACAAAAATGTGAAATCCACTTAGATGACTATTTATTAAAGGTTTTAAAACTACTTTGTGTATCATTCATTCACAGCACCTGTGCAAAAGCAGCAGCCCTCTCTTCATTTTCGTGCCAAGCCTTCAGCATCTTTTCTGAAGCTACAAAAAAAATGGATTATTACTAATCAATAATGCAATAACACATTTTTAGCTTTATCAACAAAGCAGCATATTCAAAAACGTACATATGCCATACTGCATCTGATCACTGTATTTCTCCAAGTCGTACTGTATGCTGGTCTTAAAAAAGTCCAGCTTTGCTTTGAGCTGTTGTGAAAAGGAGAACATCATGTTCTTGTATCTTGTCAAATTTGTATTGAAGCGAAGAAGACTCAGCCTGCAAACAAACAAATGATTCAATTATGAACAGAACAAAACACAAGACAGAGACATTAACGAGCATAGTAAATGTAAGGTATGTACATGGCTGCACGCTGGCCCTGGAAGAGGCGGCTGTAGTCTTCTCTGAGGCCACAAATGTAGCTAACCGCCTCACCCCAAACCTTTTTTAGGGTACTTAGTGGGAGCTGAGTTTTGGTTTCCCGAACTGAAACACAAAACGAGTTAAGGAATTTTAATATTCTAATGAAAGTTTACAAATACTTCACATTTCACGCAATAACATCTAAACAAATGATCCAAAGAAAAGCCAAATCATATCTTACCAATAAAGTTGACACTTTCGGGAAGTGTTCTAGCAGTTAAAGGTCCCATGTACTTGGTCAAACTCTTGTCAAACAGATATACAATGTAGCTGTCCCATCCTCTCTGATTATTTAAAATGAACAAATGAAATACAACTATGTTGATTAACAAAATGGTTTCTTTGCAGATAAAAACACACTTAAGAAGCCAAAATAATACTTACTACTCCATCTAACACACACTGTGCAGCAGGTTTCCTGGGATCTAACATGACTCCTGTTTCTTGCAGAAGATCTTGATTCAAAAGTTCAATTTTGGTTTCGTTCTCAATCCTCTGTTGCAGAGAGTGAAGCCCTTCATCTGGGCTTAGCAAAAATGAGTGAACCTGGGTCGTAGTCATGTTCAAGATGTGCACAACCTACAAAACAAATCATGCGTCAACTCATTTTTGCTGGTTATCTTAGATGTGTTCTGTCCAACAAATCATATTAGCTATTTGAAATTGGTGCAGTGGTTATTTGTAATCAATTTGGATGAAAAGAGTATTTAGATTCATGGTGAATAAAATGTTCCTTCAAGCATTATTTTTCAAATAATTATTGTCAACTATGAGGATTAGGGCAAAGCAATAGTAAAAAAGACAAAACTTAATTAAATCTTGAGATTATAATGCAATATTAAACTCATATAATCATAATACAAGAACACATAAAATGTAAAAAAAAAAGAAACCTCTAACTAAAATTTTAAGAATAAAGTAATTGTGTTTTTTGGGGTGAAAAAAATTTACATTTAGAAAAAAAAAAAATGCTGCAAGGTGCTGTCCATGGCTATGGTGCTGAATTGAATGGGAAACTGTTTAATTAATCCTACTACTGTAATTTTAGTATCTACTCAAGCAAAAAAGCTAACTTTGTACATCATTTCCAGACATCAGAGAGCTCCTATCAATATGCAGGGTACTGATTTTGCATTTAAATGCGCAGAGGTGTTTCACTTTTACTTTCATTTTTGTCATAACAGGTTCTCTGTGTAAACTGAAAATGTTTTAGATTAGATAGTTTACAATGAGGTCATCATATGTTTAGCATGAAAGACTCAACCACAGTCTCTCTCTCTTTACTCTTGACCCTTGGGTGAGTTTGAAATTCTGGGAGTGGTGGGTTAAGAGTTTTATACATAGGCGGTGAGTGACCAGATAAAGAACTTGAAAGGGATTCACATGGCACAGGACATAATGCATATGCTCGCACAACACAAAAGTAATGTGCAAAGAATGTAAAATACAGGGTGCACAGACAGAGCTGCAGCTGCACCCGTAAAACCTGAAAGCCTTAAAGGACTTCTATCCAGTTCACTTTAGACATGAACAGTCGCACCAAAATCACGGATGTAAGCTACTATTAATTACAAATGAGTTTGTCAAACAGTGTATCTATGCATTTATTCACTTGCTTTTGACACGCAAAGTTAAACATCAAATGTTCTTCACAACTTCATTAGAGTGACTCTCTTTTCGTTCACTTTTATATTACACTAGTGATAAATAAACACATTTGACGCTTTTACCATGCTGAAAACTTATCTACATTGTCCACAAAGTCCAAAGATCAAACTTGATGGTCAATTAAAATAGGGTGCAAGCCAGGTAATCAAGCCAAACATGGAAGGACCAGATCATGCGATCTATATAAATCTGAGTTCACTTTAAATATCTGTGGCAAATACTGATCCTGAACCAACAGTTATAAGCAGCTTTTCTCTCGATAAGCAACTAGAGGAAGCAGCAAGCAGTGGTTTGAGTGAGAAGGTACCACGGCGAATGTTATCTTTCCTACTCTCAAGCCAGTGCTCTGCTAAAAATATGCATAACATCGAAATATGCATAATAATGACTTTTTTCTTGAACTTTTATGACTGTATTAACATCTAATTTTAACATTCAGACATTAAGAGTTTTTTTGTGATACACAATGACTTCACATGTAACGACTTTAATTTTAAGATTCCATTCTATTCTATTATTTTTCTTGAAATTTTTCTCCACGTCTGTTATTAAATGGTTGGGTAAATAAGTGAAGGTTATGAATAACGTATTCAACTACATGCAGAAAAATGTGTAACTCTTGGCAACCAGAATAAGACATCTCTTAAATAGCTGATGACATTTTTAAAACCACTGTTAAAAAAACAAACACACATTCATGACAACAAAAAGAAGGCACCACTAAACAAACCAGACAAACTGTATAAAATAAAGCATAGATATAAATCTTAAAGACATCATAAAGAAATGATGTAATAATGTCAATGCCAAACCTTCATGCTCAGTATTTGATCTAGAAGAACAAAGCACTGGGGCTGTTTTGAATCTGTGTTCAGTCCTAATCCTCTCTGTACAGGGTCCCATTTGAGCATCAGCTGTAAAAGGCCTTCCAAGGGCTCCAGTAGTGTCCTGTGGAAACAAAAACAAATTGATAACTCAGAAATAACGGGTTAACACATGTTAATATATATTTTAATTGTATGAAGTGTACCTGCTAAGATTGTTTGGGTATGGAAGGTGGGTGGAAAAGCGGACCTCGCCATTCATATCTTCCACAGCCATTATATCCTTCGGACCTTTGTTTCGCACTTTGCTTGTCCTAAAAAAAAATATATATGCTTACTTATACGCAACTATATGGCTAGGTTCCTCTTGAAGAAAGGGTATATGAAAGATGGCATTATCAGCATGCAGGTTATGAGGACACATACCACTGCACAGGCTGAAGATTGTGAAGAAATGGACGAAATCCACAGCAGCATTCAAAGATCATGGTGCCAAAGCTCCAAAAGTCCACAGTGACTGTGTAGGACTTGCCTTCAAAAAGCTCTGGAGCCTGAAATAAATGGCATGGCCAATTTATTATAAGAATATTTAAAAATATAAGAATGTATAAAGATGAATAAATCTGAACATTGGATCCAATTCTTACTTCTTTTTTCACATTTTAAAGTAGATTTTTTTTGTGAACAGGATTTTAAAAATAAATCTATTTTTATCAATCGATAATTGTGAAATCAGGGCTCTAAATTAACCTTTTTTTCAAAAATGTAGGCGCATCAGCCATAATTTAGTCCCACACACCAATAATAAGCACCGTTACTACAAGTTTTATAGAAACAGATTTATTGCATTTGAAATCAACACTAATCAAGCTAACAAGCAAAAAAATATATATGCATACTGGAGGAAAATATGTCTCAACGAAACCCCGTTATCACAAGAAAATACATTTTTATAACATAACTGACTGACCAAAAGATACACGGACCGCTCACCGGCCCTGCACGCACTGCTTGACATGAATGAATCTGTTAATCATGTAACTGTGCTGTTCTCCTGGATGGTGTCTGATATTGCACTGATGCTTTTGACATATACTGTACCTTATTATATGCATACGTCATGTTTATAGCAATACCGGTCTTTTCACGAGTAGCGATATTTGTTTACTCAGTGCAAGCCCATTTGTGATGGTGTACGTTGTGTTAAATTTTAACGTTACATATAGCTGCCACTTGCATGGCGGACAACATTTAGTGATTAAATAAAGGATTAAACAGAACCTCTCGTGCTAGATGTGGCAAACAGTTACCTTAAAATTCCATCCCACAGACTTTTTCATAGTGGACTTGAAGCCAATGGAAGTCTTTTAATAGCAATGTTAATAGCAAAAAAACATCCAAACTTCGAAAAGTGTAGATGGTGGATTAACATTCAGCACATGATCACTACTAAGATGTGTCATTATCTCTAACTTTAGATGCCATGGTTTCTAAAACAAAATCTGTCAGTGTTATCTTCATTCCCATCTTCAGTGCTTTACATTTTTAAGGTAGTAGCTCTCCCTGTCATCCCAAGCCATAAAACACTGACTGAGTGATTGTGACTGACAGCTGATATTAACCAATCCACTTGCGATCAGTTCTAGAGCAGAGGGCCAATAAGAAAAGCGTGAAGGCGGGGCAAGCATTACAGACTTGGTTTTGTTTACTGACGCAAAGTTGACATGTTGACAACTGTTTAAAAACCTTCCTGCGCACTGCGTTTCAAGTGCAAAGATGCATTCTGTGTGAATGTCTACCCAATCCGTGCATGTGGTGAACATTTTGCAGTAAAAACTGGTTGCACACAACAATTTTATGCTCTTACACAAATGCTCCCAAATATATTTTGAGGTCGCATAGATAAAATTGTGGGCGCATATGCGACCAAAATGGTCACAATTTCAATCCCTGGAAATGCTATGGAAAAAAAGCTTTTTACTGTTTTTTTGGTTTTATTATTTTATATTATTGTTTTTATTTCTACATAACCAGACATATCTTATATAAATCTAAACCTAATGTAAAAACCATTAGAACACCTATAGGAATAAAACTTGGAATATTGGTGTAATTTGTACTGTAAGGAAATTTGGTGTAAGTGATACTGGAGTAAAAACAGGGATCACTACAAGTGAAAAACTCATTTTGAGGTAACAGCCTTAAAAAATATGTTATTAAAATAACAATGGTATTTTTTTCTATAATTATAAATTAGTATAAAATAAACACTTAAAATTGCATTGTGGATGTTTTTTTTCCCATGAGTACAAAGAACAATCTCCAAAATCTCAAAACTGACAGGTATTAGACACAAAAAATTCCCTGCATCTTAATAAAAAATCTCCAGCATATGAAAGTGTATGTGAGATTATTGCCATAACTGTCATATTTCTAAATAATGCAGGTTAAAACATACCAGATATTGTAAAGTCCCCACAAATGAAGTGCATAAGCTCCCCTGGTCCAGGTCTTTGGCATAACCAAGGTCGATTATCTTGTGAACAAGCTGCATAGACAACAAAACATAACCCATGTTTGAAAAGCATGTCTATAGAATAAAATTCTAACCACTAAAAAGTAAATACCTTTCCATTAATTTCTTGCAGCACAATATTCTCTGGCTTGAGATCCCTGTGTATGATCTTATTCTCATGAAGGTACTGGATTCCAGAACCTATTCAAAAGAAAACACTCAGTTTGACACACAACCCTCAGCTATTGATGGTAAAAATACTAAAAACAGAAGCAACAGGCTTTGACACATTACCAACATCATTGAGTAGAGACAACACCTCACTCTCTTTCAACCCACAGCAATTTTCAGGTTTGCTCAACAACTACAAAAAAAGAATTAAAAAACAGAAATGAGTCAGAATGAACTTAATATAAGAGCACATCTGACAGATACAAAAGAAAAGCCTATGGTCACACGCACACACCTTACGAAGATCTCCTTTGGAACAATACTCCATGGCTAAAAGTGGTAAATCATTCAAGGCAATGTGCATCATCTCCTCAGGCACATCCTTTGCTGTGACAACATTAAGGTGCTTTAGCCTTAGAAGTAGGATAAAAAAAGATTAGATTAAGTAATGTAACAATTAAAGGTGTACAAACACACAATATTAAGACACTTATGTACTGTAAATAAGGATCATGCTGCGGCCTCAAACCACTGATTGAATGTATTTTGATATGCTTAAACTTTGCTTTATCCTTCTATACTTACTATGTGTTTAATCAGGTAAAAATGTAGGGATGTAGTGCAATCACTTAAATTTTATAAATATTTAAATAAGCACAGGATAGAACAAATATATTCTTTAGTTAAATAAACATCTATTATGCTAAATAATTATTTCAATTCCTGAAAGTGTATGTATGTAAAAAATTGCCATTACAAAAACAAAAAATGTTCAACCAGGTTTCAGTACGAATTGTTAATATTTGTTTTTTCTTTTAAGGTCTGAAAGGATTTTTACCAAGATTTCAACAAAAAAGCAAGTTCTTTTCATTAAATAGCATTTGGTCAAGATTATTGTTAAGACAAAATTTTATATCTTGACCAAATATACATATATTTTACGTGTATATATACACGTAAAATTCTCAAAACAAATAAATCATTTGATTATAATAGATGTACACACTTTTTCATAATCTGGATCTCTCGACTCCATCTGTCTTTGTTTTTTGAATTAAGCTCAAGGCGACAGAGCTTCACAGCTATTTTTTCTGATGTTTCCTGCAAGCAAAAAAAAAAACTGTATTACCAAGAGTGAAAACTCCAACATTAGTCTTTACAAGTAAAATAAATAAGCAACAACAAAACATCTATAGTATAAATAGTAAAAATAAAAATAAAAACGTTGTACCTGATTCTGATACAAATAGACATGGCCAAATCCTCCTGTTCCAAGCCTCTCCTTCATAACCCATGAGCCACAGACCTGATTCTGTCTGAAAGGGGGTTTCTCCATCTGTACACATCAAACATTTCATCATAAGTTTATAATACAAAATCACTGGATTCCACTTTGTGAAAGCTGCTGCCGTTTGATCTATGTACATTGGGCCCTATTGAGGAAACTATTACGGGCTTCTTCGGTGTAAACAATACAAAAGAGGATTCATAAATACGAAATATTCATTTGCGTCATAATATTTACTTAGACATTAGGGCACTGCTAGCAAGCGAGCTAATCCAAAGTGTCAGCCGGTGACTTACCTTGCGTCCGTTTGTGTTTCTAACTTGCTTTAACCAGCCACATATAATGTGGAGAATTCAGTGAGCTGTAAAATGAGCGAATTAATCCATAGGAAACGGCAGAGCTGTCCATTTCATCCTTAAACGAGCTATCGGGTCGGATTTTAGATTTGCTAACTGGCTAACTAGCTACACGTAAACATCTCGACATGAGCAGTTAGCTTGCAGTCTCACATGCCCCCAAATGTCAGCTTTCCATAACACTGGGCACGAAAAAATACCAGATCGCAAGTGAATTTCTAAAAAACTAAATATTTCTGGCCTGAATTATGATTAAATACAGTATCACTGACTGGCTCACTTATATGTTAACTGTTGTTGACGGCGGCCACGCCAGTCAGCTGCTACTCCAGTCAAAAGCGAAACAATTTTCACGCACGCGCAGAGCGTGAAAAGACGCCCGAGTTTCTTGTGGCTGATCTAGGATCGGTCGGTCTTAACAGATGCTGTATGCATGGGCAAAGTAAAGTTCTTGGAGCTGAACTCAGGACGTAGGAACTTGTCACGAAAACAAGGTCGGTGACCTGAATTTCTTCAGATCTTCAAATGATAATTTCATGTGAACTGGAAAATTTGTTCCGCAATTATTCTCCTCACACCTGCTTAATTTGGAATAATGGAAATATACCTCTTCAAACACAAACACACACACACACACACACACACACACACACACACACACACACACACACACACACACACACACACACACACACAATGGTAATGTTATGGTTGTTACATGACTGTATTTATTATTATGTATGTATGTTTAAAACCAGCAGAATATACTATATATTTGACATGTCATGAACTTACTGTTCTTCAAAAAAATGCTCAATAAAAATTTCCTTAAGACAAGAATGGGTATTGTTTTGGTCTTTTTTTTTTTGTCAAACTACTGTAGGTTTTAAGTTACTACAGCAGATATAGGCTACCTATATCATTATATTGGTAGTCAGAGTTATTTTAATGACCCAAATCGAGTAAAATGTCTCCTACTCAAGTACTTTTTGCATGCAAAAGTCAAATTTACAGTTTTCAACAACAAAATTTTGTCTCGTAAAAATGACCAGTGGGGTGTGAGAAAAAAGTTAATGTCGAGATATATATTCTATATAAAAGAAGTTGAACAAGTTGTCATAATATTTAGTCATAATGCATTTTTCTGTACATTTCCATTAGACGTTTTTTTTCTAAATCTATAATTGGTAAATTGCTCCCAGGTCAATCTAAAAATGAAATAAATTAGCCGTATAGCTTACATGAGGACGTCCATCCAGAGTACGCTGTTACATTGACAACATGAGTAAGTAATTTGACTGTCTTATCCGTACACAATGACACAAGGACTTGTCATTCTGACGGCACTGACATGTTCATTGAGAGATGAACCAAGCACTTTAAGCAAGAGACTGGCCTTTGCAGGTAATCCATGCTGTTTGGCTATTTGTATGTGCTGTTTTGAGAAATGCACTTACTGCTTAGCAAATTTCAAATCTGAGAAGTTTACCAAAGCGACTGAAAAAAAAACTGTAAAACAACACAAGTTAATGCAAAGATGAAAAGTCTGCAAAGACAAAAGTGTGTATTTTTTTATTTGCACATATCACTTTTTAAAGTAGTAGCGTATACATAATTCGGTTTTATATTTTTGGCTTAATATTTAATACTCGTTTTGATGTAACCATGTCTATAGTGGAATGGAACATCACAACCATGGTTTCTGCAGGTGTCAGTCACTATTTCAAATGTATGACTTTTTAAGTCTTTTCTTAAAACCATTGTGACCCCGACATTTCTAAGAGGTGGCTATAAATATACAAATGTTGCACACATAACAATAGGCCTATATAAACATGAGCATATTGCCAACACAAAAAGTGCAACAGTCTTAACAGTCATGGGCTATATAGTTTGTATAATCATTTATTCATTTCTTTAATTTAATATTAATAACCTAACCTCAAGGAGACTGGTGGACAGCATGTGTTCAGGACAAGTCCATTGGTTTAATTTTGGAGATCATCCTCAATGGTCAGTTGTGGCCTGTGTTCATTTTCAATTTGATTACCATAAAGGGGTCAGAAAGTTTAACCTGTTGCTATAAGTTCAGCCTGTGCTGTTGATCTAACGTACAATCTAATCTAATACACAATTCTATGACAAAAATTAAGGGCCGATGGCTCTTTATTTGCACGCGATCCTTGCATGCATGAAATATTGCACATCATGACCAGTTTTGCTTGCTAATTGAAAACGTGCTAGATATAATGCAGTTTTTCGTTCAGAATTGTGGTATTTTTAAAGTACTATCAAGTTTTCTAACTGGCGAGCGACATGATCTAGTGGGTCCGTCATCTTTAATGTGCGCGTTGGTGATTTCAGGAGGCGTGGCTTTGGACAGCAGGGGAGGGATTGTATTTGAAATATTATGCTAACCAGTTAGCATTTTGGCAGATCACCTAGTGCAGCTTTAACTGATGTCACACTAAAGCTCCGATCTGTCAGAAGTCAAACTTTGGCATTTAAATATGGTCAGTAGAAAAGTAGAACTTATTGTGGTATTTTCAGCATTTTTTGTTAGCATGATTTGGAGGGGCTCAAAAAAATAAGCCAATGTTGTTCTTGAAAGTACCTTTGAAAAAGTACATAGTTAATGGCATAAAGACACACTGAAGGGGAGGTTTTCACTCATCAAAACAACTAATTAAATAAAAGACACCAAACATCCCCTAAAAGGTCATTCAGGGTGACAATAACAGTTCAAGCATCTAAAAAATATTATTCCTTCATTTTCTTTTCGGCTTGGTCCCTTTATTATTACACGCCACCGTGGAATTAACCTGCCAACTTATCCAGCACAATTTTTACGCAGCGGATGACCTTCCGGCCGCAACCCATCTCTGGGAAACATCCACACACACACACACACACACACACACTCAGTCACACTCATACACTACGGAAAACTTAGCCCACCCAATTCACCTGTACCGCATGTCTTTGGACTTGTGGGGGAAACCGGAGCACCCGGAGGAAAACCCACGCGAATGCAGGGAGAACATGCAAACTCCACACAGAAACGGTAGCTGACCCAGCTGAGGCTCGAACCAGTGACCTTCCTGCTGTGAGGCAACGGCACTACCTACTGCGTCACCTAAAAATATTATATGTATGGCAAATTTATATCCTAAATAGAGGGTCTCATCACTACCATTTATTTGTGTCTTTTTATTTTTGACAACCAAAGAGTGCTTAAACGGTCGGACGTCTATAAAGAGAGAGACGCTTGCTTAGCATGGCACAAGGTCCATTAGACCTTGTTTTATTGGATTTGGCAACCAAAGTATTGAGTCCCTAAAGAGATAGTTCACCCTAAAAATGAAAATGCACTCACCATTTACTGACCTACATGCATGTAGTTCTACACGTTTATTCATACGTTTGCATTACTGAGAGCAGGAGAGAGACCGGCTGCACTAGTAGGCAGTAACGTTATCTTCATAATATTGTTTAATTAGCATAAATGATTAGCAAATGAATCTGTCTCGTCAGCCTTTACAAGTGAAGGAATTATCTACACACAATCTGAATTCCCAATTAGAATAATACTACAAACTATATAATACTATTCATGAAAACACCTAAATAACAGACTAATCCAAATGCCCAACACGAGCGAGCTGCGCTCCAGACCAGATCAGCTCGATGACGTATAATGTCTCCGACGCCGCCTGTAGTCCCATTTAGCAACTTGATAGCAAGCGTCTTTTTAAAGAAGCATAACCCATTAAAAAATTCAAGAGTGTGCTGTAAGTGATGTGTTTTATGTCGTAGAACAAAACGTGAAAGTATTTTGAGTTTGTGTTTGCCACGAACCTTATTTAAGCGATTTTACTGAAACCCCATCGAGAAAACCCATTGACTTTGGGACGAAGGAACCGGAACTGCTAAAATTCTAACTCGCTTCCGGGTTTTTGCATACAAATTGACGTCATAGTTCCTCCACTCAATTAGGAGTAGGCTAGCCTCAACAAGACTGACTGCTCATTTAGTCTACATCTAGGCCTATTGAACTGCGTGCTTTAGCATAGGCCAACGAACTGCAGTACAGACACCAATTCTCACTTAAGCTCATTTCAGGTTATGATTAGACCTGTCCAGTTTCATCTGGAACGCATCCCAGATGACCTTCTGAAGTGGTTTGAGCGATCGGATGGATATCTGATCAGAACAAAAAAAAAAAAAAAAAACGAATGAAGTGAGCAAACAGCATCAAAAACACAGACGTGACAGGAATATATATTGAATGTAAATATATTATATTCATTATTTGATAAATATATAATATTCAATTACATAAAACAATTAAAAGGACAAATGCTGGACCTTTTGGCAACACTTTTTCAGTTTAGGTAACAATTCACAGTATTAACAAACAATTAAACTAACACTACTAGCATAATAAACTAACTAGCTGTTTGTTAATAATTAGTAAGGTACTAATTGGGTTTACGTTTAGGTTAGGGCTAGGCATGCCCCCACCCCGGCTACGGGCATGATGTAGTGGAGTAGCAAGTAACATGCTATTAGGTGGTGTGACCGCTAGATGGCGATCTTGGATAATAAGAAGCTTACCACCACTAGGAGTTTGTCAGAGTCATTGGTCTTTAATTATAATCATCTGTCTCCCTATTCTACTGCATCCCAGAATAACACACGGCACCAAAAAAATAAAGTAAAAATATATATTCAGTATATTTAATATGTTTTTGTCCGCAACTCGCCGTCACGCCGTGACGGAGATTGCCGAGCCTGTTTGGTCCAATGGGAGGCGTGCTCTCCTCAACGCTCACCATGACAACGAGACTCCCAGCAGTGACGTCGCCATGTAAACATTTGCATATGCATTCCTATAAAGCACGGCGGTTCTCGCTCGGTGCTGTCAGTTCTCTCGGGGCTGCTCTTAGAAATTGACCAAGGTAAGTTCAAAATAAACTTCTCTTTCTAAACACCTGCCTCGTGTTTTTATTTGTCATGCACAGCAATACACTGTCATACAGGTCTGTTGAATGCATTTGTA